CAAATCAAAAACTGCAAGACCGAAATTTTAAAACATCTATTTTGTTAAATAGATGTGTATAGCTGTTTCTCATCTGTTTTTTCTTTCTTTATTTAGATCAGTAAATGTTGTGTTGCTTCTTATTTTATTTTACATATTTTAGCCTACCTCATGGTCGTAGGACTAGACTGGTTTGGTTAACTTTGAAATAACTTAATAAAATTTTTACTCAGAAATTGCTTTGCATATTAATTCAGGTTATGTTTAATATTAATTCAGTTCAAAAATATTTTTTAATCCCACAGATAAATGAAATATTGCCCTATCATCCAAGCATATGCGACTGTTGGGCAGGATCCTATAGCAGTCTGACTCGCACTGAATCTGAAGAGGCCTCTGACTGAACATTGATGATCTTTCTTGAATGTCACGAGATGCTAGCAGTTCAATACTCAGGGAGCAGAGATGAAATTTCACAGCATCATGTCCTGGATGACATCAACTGTTCTCTACTAATCCACCTCCTTTGCTTTTGCCACTCTTGTTTGAATCTCAGACTATTTCATAGTTTGCAGAGCAGGTGTTGTCATCTGCATTTGTTATTTATCCTACTGTATCAGAAAAGAAAGTAGCACAATTTGTCTTTACAAATGTGAAATTGTTTTTACCTGTATTAAATTGGACTGCATAAAAAACTGGAATGACTCAAACTTAGATAAACTATAGATGTAAATTAGATCTACTATGTAAGACTGACACATTTTTTGTCTCATTTTTTTAGCAGATTTTGTTTCCTTGATTCACTGAGGGAAAAAACAGCATTACATTACTAAACTGAGTTTTTGCTGCCATCCAATGGTCAAAGGCAGTAACTACAGGGAGTTCAATTTAGTTTTTCTGTGTACAGCGCAGAATTACAAAATGTATCTGAAGGGATACTAAAAACAAACAAACCCAATCCATATACAAGTATGTAAGTCTGAAATCAAATTATTCTCTTACCATCAAACAATGTATAGTTTTTTACTCTTCATTTGAGATTACCACACATTTCAACTTGTTTAAAGTGACAGTATTTCATGTTTTCGAGGCACATTGTGCTGTAAAATGGCACCAAGTAGCTATGCTACCTTCAGTTGTTGTAAAATGCTACATATATCTAACATGACAGAAAAAAATTTACTTTGGAATTTAACGCCTTGAAATTGGGCCTCTGTCTCTTTAAGAAACTCCTGTTTCTGAAACTGCCTTCAGAAAGTTGTCACAACTATCAAAACTTTAACGTTTACCAGCATAGCTCTGAGAAGTAGCTCCTATAATGAGCTCAGCTGATGTTCCACCATGTGTTTGCTAATTGATTCTGACTAGTCTGAAGGAGCTGAGTGGGGGAGTGGTGCTCTGTGAGGCAGAAGCTCTGAATCTTGGAAACTGCAGCTCAGAGGATGAGCTCCACCTCAAAGGCGGAGCTACGTCCACCCAGACGTTTTGCATAGCTGACTGGTTGCCATGGAGATTAAAGGAATTTTTCAAACAAGCATGAAAGAATCAAGGCAACACTACAGGTGTGTTTTTGATGAGGGAATAACATTATATAGCATGATATAGCTCAGAAAAGCTAATTTTACATAATACTGTCCCTTTAAAGAAACTGAAATCCACCATAAAGCAACATTTGGAGCTCTTGAAAGTTTAAGTGACAAATGTTTGTCAAGAAGACTTTATTTCACACATCCAATCATCCATCCTTCCATCCTATTTCTCACTGCAGTTATGTTTCCTGAGTAACCTGGAGTCTGAAAAGCCGAGCCCACAGCTGCTGCAGGAGTACGGCCTCTCTCCTGTGTGGACCTGCATGTGGAACTTGACATGTCCAAGCTGCCGGAAGCGCGTCCCACACACCTCGCACTCATAGGGTTTCTCGCCCGTGTGGACACGGAGGTGTCGCAGGTAGTTGGTGTAGATACAGAAGTCCTTGCCACACTGCTCACACTTGTACGGTCTCTCTCCAGAATGCTGCAGCCTGTGGGACTTGAGCGCTTGGCGGATGACAAACCGCTTCCCACAGACGTCGCACGCAAACGGCCGCTCCCCGGAGTGGATCCTCTGGTGGTACTTGTAGGTGGCTTTGTAGAAAAACGACTTGTCGCATTGGTCGCAGGCATACTGCGCAGCGCCGCTGGCATGGATCAGCTCGTGCCTCTGCAGCGAAGCAGCTGAGTCGAAGCCTTTGCGGCAGGTGCCACAGCTGAACGGCGTCACGTCCAGCATGGTTTTGTCCCGCCGGTAGATCACCCTGCGCTCGCCTCGCTCCCAACCTCGCCTCTTGGACGCCTGCTTCTCCTCGTGTGCGGCTTTCTGATGCTTCTTCAGCTGGCAGTTGTACAGGAAGGTCTTCCCGCAGAGGTCGCACATGAACGCCTTGGCAGCGCCGTGGAGCAGCATGTGCACCTTCAGCTTGTTGTCCTGCATGAAGGGCCTCCCGCATACCTTGCAGGCGAATGGCTTCTCACCTGTGTGAATGCGGATGTGCCTCCGGAGGTTCTGTTGGAGCGTGAATCCCGCCCCACATGTCTCGCAAGTGAACACCTTCCCCCTGTGGACTGCCTGATGCGTCCGGAGTGACCGCCTGCTGGAGAAGGCCTTGCCGCACGTCGTGCAGGTGAAGGGATGCTCACCAGTGTGGACACTACGGTGGCACTGCAGGCTGACGGCGCATCTGAAACTCACCCCACACTCTGAACACTTGTGTGGTTTCTCTGCCAGGTGTACCGCCTGATGCGCCTGCAGGTTGTGCTTCGTTTTGAAGGCCTTCCCACAGGTCCCGCAGCTAAACGGTCGGAGGTCTGAGTGGACCAGCTGATGTGTCTTCAGATTCATCTTTGTCTTGAACGACTTCTCGCAGCGCTGGCACTGGAAGCTAGCGTGTTTCTTCTCTTCGTGTCGCAACAGGTGTTGCTCCAAGGTCTCTGCAGTCCTGAATGTCCTGGGGCAGCGGTCACAGGCGAACGGCCGCTGCTCCTTGTGAGTGTTCATGTGCTTCGCCAGGTGAAACCGACGGCTAAAACTCTTCTTGCAGAGCTCACACACAAACTCCTTTCCTTTAGGCTTCAGCACTGCTTCCTGCGTCTTCTGGGATTCAGAGTTTTCCAGTTCGGGACTTTTTGGAGCAGCTAAATCCTCAGCAGTGTCTAAACAGAGAAAAAAAAACATCTTAACTGCTAATATTACAATGTACATGACTCAGAGTTTCATTCAGAAAACGTGCTAAACTCCGTAAAGGTAAATCTGACCTTCTCCAGCAGGAGGAGACGAAGGCATCTGCATTGTCTCTCCAGTGTCTGAAACAGACATTAGAAACAGAAGAAGAGCTTCAGATTGAAAGAATGCAGAGTTCAGTTTTTCTGTTTCATGAAAACACACCTTCCACCTCTGCAGTGGCTGCAGGAGGATTTCCGTCGTCCATCTTTCTTTTCAGTCTCCAGTCCGGCATAGTGGACACCATGCCGCTCTGTTCCAGCAGCACCGGACCGCCGTTCAGCACATTCTCCCACTGCAGCCGGGCTTTTTCCAAACCTTCGGCTGCGCTCTTCAGCTCGGCCTGCAGCTGCTCCAGCTGCACGTTTAGTTTGCAGTTTTCAATGAGAAGCGACGAGGAGAGCTGCGAGAAAACACTGCTGATCTTCCTGGTCGCCTCCCTGATCAACATGGCAGCAACATCTGGCTACAGGGAATAAAATGAAGGAAATTCAAATGGTATTGTCAAGTAAATATATCTGAAGTTGATGTCATTTAATAGAAATACTGTTTTACTGAGAGAAACAAGAGTATTTAGGACAATTCAGTTCTGTCTGTGGAAATAATTACCAACAAAAAAATGTTTCTGGAGAAAAATTTGGCATATAAATACTAAAACTGTAAGCAATAAAAAAACAGAAATACTATCTTCTAAAAACTGCACCTTTTATAGTAGCAGCATGTAAGAATACCTCTGATTTATTATTTTCTAGACTTTCATGTTTTTCCTCTGGTTTTCTTTGCGGTGCATCTGGAAGGATTTCTGCTCTCACTTTTGGACAGTTCTTACCATGGAAACATGGTATTGGTTTTACAACAGCAACGTCTTAAGACAGAGGCTTCTCTCTACTAGTTGTGAGACTGACTGCTACCACAAATTCTTACTGCCCAAAACTCTTTGAAGATACTTGGATTAACCCTTGTATGTAGAAATGGGGTCCAACCGACCCCACACACGTAAAACTTGTATCGTTTGCCTCAGTCCTCGCACGTACAAGGATTAAGACTTACGACAGCATTTAATTTTCCTTTGGGATAAAATAAAGCATTTTGGGTTTGAAGTCAGTTGAATATGCTTCATCAGCCAGGAGACTACAATAAACACCAGAAAACATTCAATTAAAGACAGTTTTTAAAAAAAGTCATTTTAAATAATGTGTGGCATAATTATTGTTCAATAAAGGTAGGAAAGCCCCCGAAAAACTGGAGGATTCTCAACATTTACTTACCTTTGTAAGCAGATAAAATTATTTTCCGCAGTTGCGCTTTAAAATTCAGTTTTACTTTCCCCAATAACTTCAGAAAACTCCGATATCAGCTGTTAACACCTTTTTAAAGCTATAAAGAAATGAATATCTCGGTTTGTGGTGCTTTTATTGAGCACAATCCGCCATCTTTGTTATGGCGCCGTTCCGTTACTGCTCTGGGTTTCGTCGCGACGACATAATCTCCCCCAGAAAACACCGTCTCTGATCCGGGTTCATAAGAACCGTGAACTCACCTCGCGTCTCAGAGTCCGCTTCGTTTTATCGGTTCCTCTGACTGAAACTCCAAGAACATCGACCGCTGTCATTATGAGCGTCTCTAAAATGGATTTCACTTCGGAATAAAACACAGAGCTATCAGCCATTTTAAACATTTTTATGGCTATCGAGGCAGCAGCGTTATTCCGGAAATGGGATTAACTTCTGTGACGATTTTCAAAATAAAACTCGAAGCATATTTTCCGTTTCAACTGTTTATTCGCAATACACTGTACACGGGGGAAGAAATATATTTACCGTCATGTTAAAGAGAACTATTCATTACAAATTATGTAGATCTTCAAGTTTGCTTCTGCAAAAATAACAATTTTGGTTAGCAACGGATTAGGAAAATAAATTACAGTTTAAAGGAAACAGATAAACAGTTTCTTCAAATAAAACAGCTTTAAATGCCACTCCACGCCATCTGTAGGTTTGTTATAATTGACCATTTGTGATGAGTCCCTTGCACATGAACTGTCATGACAAATGCATTACAGAAAAGAACAGATACGCAAAACAGAATCAACAAACATCCCTTTAACTCTATGAAACTGAAACTGCAAATTTAAAGCTTTTTTGTATTGAAAGACAGAAAATCATTCAAGCTTAATCATATGAGTTGAGCCGTCACAGCTGTGCTTCTTGAGCTGCCGTGAATCGGAGAAGCCGTGGCCGCACTGCTGACAGGAGTACAGCTTCTGGCCTGTGTGAACCTGCAGGTGGGATTTCAGCTGATTGGATTGGTGGAACTTCTTCTGGCAGTAGCTGCATTCGAAAGGTTTCACCCCGCTGTGGATCCTCAGGTGGCGGTAGAAGTTTCCATCCGTCCTGAACTCCTTGTCGCACTGGTTGCACTTGTAGGGCCTTTCGCCAGTGTGGATCCGCTCGTGCTGCTTCAGGCTGGCGCCATGGAAGAAGCTCTTTCCGCAGATGTCGCACACAAAGGGCTTGTCTCCTGAGTGGCTGCGCTGGTGGTAGCTGAAGGAGTACTTGTTGTGGAAGTCCTTCCCACAGATGCCACAGTGGAACTCCTTGTGCTCACTGTGGCCCTTCTCATGGAGCTTGAGCGACGAAGCAGCACTGAAACCCTTCAGGCACGTTTTGCAGCTGAATGGTTTCACCAGCGGCTTCGGCCGCCGGTTCTGGAGGACGCCGTCTGACGCATGGGAGTTGTCGGCGTGGACATATCGCTGATGCATCTGCAGCCTGCAGTTGAAGAGGAACGTCTTCCCACAGAGATCGCACATGAAGGGTTTCCTGGCGCCGTGAACGAGCATGTGCGACTTTAGCTTGTTGTTGTCAGAGAAGCTCTTCCCGCAGTCCTTGCAGGCGAATGGTTTCTCGCCGGTGTGGATGCGCAGATGCCTCTTCAAGTTGTTGTTGAGGTTGAACCTCGCTCCACAAATGTGACACGTGAAGGGTTTCTCCCCGGTGTGGATGACCTTGTGTCTTTTCAGAGCAGTGCCGGTTCTGTAGGAGCGGTTACACTCGTCGCAGACAAACGGGCTGTCGCCGGTGTGCTTCCTCTTGTGCACCGTCAGCGAGTGGGCGTACTTGAAGGACTCTTCACACATGTTGCATTTGTACTTCTTGGCGTTTGTGTGGACCATCTGGTGGAAGCGCAGGGTGTCCTTGCTTTTGAACTCCTTCCCACACGTGGCGCAGCTGAACGGTCTCTCCTCTGAGTGCACGGCCATGTGGGCCCTCAGCTGCACCGCTGTCTTGCAGGTTTTCTCGCAGTGCTGGCACTTCAGCTGCAGCTTCCACTTTTCGTGGCGCAGGAGGTGGTTTTCCAGTGACTGTTGCGCCCTGAATGATTTGCCGCACTGGTCGCAGGGGAACGGTTTGGGTAGTTTGGATGTCTGGTGGCGCTTGAGATGATTCTGGAGTGACGACTCCTTCCTGTAGGATCTCTTGCACTGCGAACACGGGAACGGCAGCGGGTCCTTCATTGAGTCGTGGCTCAGAAGGTGATTCTCCAGATCTTCCCTGTCTGGGAAACTTTTGCTGCACTGCTCACAGGGAAAGGGCTTTTTGTGGACATTCAGGTGTTTCTTCAGGTCACTTTTCCAGTGAAAGCCGGTGTCACAATACTCGCAGAAGAAGCGCTTTCCTGCTTGAGAGGAGGTTCTCCTCAGGCTTCTTCCCTGAGCTTCGCCTGGCTCGACCCGTGTCTCCTCTGTTGAGTTGTTGGGTGAAACTGAAAGTGAAATAGAAAAAAATTAGTGGTGAATGTTCCTTATTCAAACCCTGAACCCCCTAACAAAGTCCTACCTTTTTCAGTTTTATCAGTCTTCCTCCTCCTGCGCTGTGTTACTCCAGCAGGTTCCTCCTCTAAAGAATTCTGTGGCATCTGGAAAGAGATTTGAAGTTTCAAAACTTTTCGGTCCCAAATCAAAACATTTGAAATTGGTTTAGTTGTCCTCACAGACAGAAACCAGCTAGAGGTCCACAGATTTTCTAAATTTTGTGTGATCAGCCGATATTTACTTGAAAAACTGATTTCATCTTCCCCAGCAATGCAATTAGCCAATGTCTCTTTTTGTTAGCGGTTAGCAATCCAATTTAGCAACTTTTCCAAAAAAAAAAAAAAAAAAAGTTTCAGCCAAAACTGAAAAGTCAGTCTTTAAATAGTTGGTGACTAGCTAGAAAACTAATCAGTGCACCCTTACAGCTGCTTACAAATATCTAAAATCTGTGAATATTTGAGACTTCAAGCGACTTTTCACCTAAAAAAAATAAATAAAAATGTAATAACATTTTTCTGTGTTACAGGAGATTTTGGTGAAGTGAACTCTGGTGCGGATAGAATGTAGATGTGAACGCCAAGTGGACTGGAGACCGCTCCAAAAGCAGGAAGTGGACTACAGCACAGGGCATTCTGGGTAAGTACAAACAAAACAAGCAAATTCTCCTAACGTTAGAGGGAGAAACGGCCACAGACAAAAGAGAAATCCAACAAAATGCTAAAATCTGACGCCACTCCATTTTTGTTTACATTTCATGGAGAAGGAAGTCATCTTTTTCTTCGTTTCTTCCAGTGGTAACATCCAGTTGTTGATCATATGACTCATGTCATGAGAAAAGTGTTTCCATTGCAGCTTTGCAAAACAAACTAATTCCAATATGGCCAAAAATAATCACCTCATCCAAGCACAAAAACGTTTTACTGAAAAACAATAAATTCTTTCAAAATTGCTTTGTTTCCATTAGGTGAATTTATTTTCATAATTCCAATTGTCCAGTCATATGGTCAATGGAAACACAGCAGTGTGAAAGCAAACCACAGCAGCTGAAAATGTAGCAAATGTTGTAATTCTGGTCACAACCCAACAGAGTCCACCAACTATCGGATGGAAAACAGCCTGAGTGCCGACTTGCTGCCTTTTGCTTTCTAGATTAATCTGGATTATAAACTGGTTTCACTCACTTTTAGTTCACTTGTTTGTTCCTAACTTTATATTGATTTGAATGTTGGATGTTAAACGAAGAGCCTTAAATGACATTTGAAATCTTTCTTCAATTTAGTTTTTAAATTATTTTGGGCTCAAATAAAATTTATAAGACAAGAATTTGGGTCATTTTCTTTCAAAATTCCTTAATACATTAAATTAGACTAAATTTAGGTAAAGCAAAATTGGCTTTTCAGTAAAAGTCTCCCGATATACGAGGTTCTACGTTTTAGAAAAGTCTGGTTATAACAAAATCAATACTTTGTGTCGCAATAAGAAATAAATGATTTAATCGCATGATAAATTGAAGCAAAACCAATAATTTTCATTTGTATGATTTATTGTTTTTCTACCAAAAACTGGATGATAAAAGTCTTCAGTCTGGTGTTTGGGTCTCAACTAGCCGTTTTTATAATGACAATTTTGTTTACAGAGAATTTATGATTCATTTTATTTGTTGTTTTGTTTATTTATATTGGATATTTAAAATGTCTTCCAGTTTCAGTGTTAAATGTTCATTAAAATTTAAAGTTTATTCATCTTTTTCAGAATGTGTTCTTGCATTATACTACTTGAAAATTGTCTCTAAACGACAATATAATCCCAGGAACTTGTGGGACAATTTATCATCTAGCAAAATTTATTATGACAGAATTAGTCATACTTCCCGTATATCATTCTTGAATTGCAGTCAGAGCCGCCCAAAATCAGTCCAAGGGTCTCAAATGGCCCCTGTGCCACATTTTGGGCACGCGGCTGAACTCCTCACCTTTTCCTGAGTGCAGTGGAGACCGCTGGCGCTGCTGGAGTCGGGGCTGGCGGCGTCCTGCGGCATGAACTCGGGTTTCAGCTCCAGTTCGTATGAAAGCTTCATTGTTTATGATGTTATTTTCTATTTGTTGAGGTGAAGCAAATGAACAGTAAACATACATGACCTATTGTAAGGATTGGTTTCTACAGAAATCCTGAAAGGTGAGAGAAAACTAATTTTCTAATTTTTTAAAAATATTGTAACCTAGAATTTAGATTTTTTTTTTTTCCTTTTCACTTGAACGTAAATTTTGCTGGTTTTTTCCTCATGAAATGTTTCTTTCCCCTTAAAAGAAAAATAATAAAAAAACAACACTTAAAAAATATATTTTTGACTCTTGGTTATTTGTTGTAGCAATGAAAGAAAAATACTTTTAACAGTGAAAAAGTCTTAAAAACAGTTCTTTTTTTAATCAATGTTTCTATGATCTTCTTCAGGAAAAAATGTCTTGATTTTATTCTTTTTAATTGATTTTGTGTATATTGTACTGTGTCCTTGAGTGCCTCCAAATAAAATGTATTATTAGTATTATCATTACAAGAAAAATATATTTAATAAGAAAGAAAACTTGGTCAGACTTAGAAAATGGGCCTAAATAAAAAACTTCTTGCCTTTCAGGACTTTAAAAAAAAAACAACTTATTTTTGACTCGTTTGGTCGGTCGGTCGCTCTAGTAATGACAAAAAAGAAAAAGACTTTAAATAGTCAAAACAGCTTAATGCAAAAACACAATTAGAAAACTTTTTTTGGCATATTTTTAATGCTCCCCTCCAGGAAAAGCACTTTAATCTAGATTTTAGGAAGAGAAAGAAAATTTGGTCAGACTTATAGGTCTTCAAAAAAACTAAACAAAAACAAAAGGTTTTCACTTGTTCTTTAGGTCTTCCATAGTTTTCATAAGGCTTAAGTTGAAAAAATTGAGAAAAATGTCTCTTCTGTCTACATTTATTATCTTGCTGGACCAGGTGATATTGCCAAAAACTGATACCAGAATATATATGTTTAAATACTTCGATAATATCACAGATGATATTCCACATTTTCTTCATTTTTTCCCCTTCCCTTTTTTTTCCAAATTGTATTTGGCCAAAGTCTATTTAAGTAGATTTTTTTAGCAACTCTTGGGGGATTTTTTTGTTTGTTTTTTATTCTTTTAGTTGAGTAAAAGTAAGTTAAATGAGTCCTACTCTAACCACCATTTTTTTGTAATTGAAAATAAAGTATTATCTTTCCATGATGTTGAAACCAAAGCGAGAACCTACTGACTACAGAAGAGTCTCACCGGTTGCTGGTCCGTCCTCCAGCTGCTGTTCTGGCCCGTCCTGGTGGGTCTTCCCGGGGCCCTCGCTCATGGTCTTCAGCTCCTGTTCCAGTAGCTCCATGTCTCGGCCCAGTTGACCCACTCTGGCCTCCAGCTCCTGCTCCAGCCGCCCGGCTTTCCTCTGCAGCACGTCCTCCAGCTGCTCCACTTTGGTCCGCAGAGCCTCGTTCTCCTCCCAAAGCTCGGCGAACACCTTCTGGATCTGATCGACCAGAAACCGCTCGATCTCCTGGATCTCACCGAGCTTCGCTTCGTCCCAGTCCGAGTTCCGCGTCTCTCCGAGCCACACGTCCCTGAACACGGACACAGCCGCCCGGAGAGCCACTTCCACCGCGGACGCTAACTCTCTCCCGAAGCGCGCCTCCATTTTTTTCGTGTTTTTTTTTTAAATATACGTATTCAAACCTCGGCTCGTTGGAGTAAAGCGCATATTGTAACTCAAATACGAACTTTAAATCGGTTTTGAGTGAACTTTAAACAACAAAACAGTCAGTGTTTTTTTTGCTAACATCAACGGTCGGTTCTCTAAATGATAACCTGTGCAACAGTGAAACAGCTCCGAACTACATTTCCGCTTCGTCGATGTTAAGGTATAATTAGGGCGCACTACTGCCACCTGCCGGATACATTTAACTCCGCAATTTTAATTTTAATATCTAATGAGAACTAAAACTGACAAAATTTAAAATTAAAGCAAAAATTTATACATTTTCTTTTTCCATTTTCGTCAGGAAATATATTTTCCTTTCTTTCTATGCATTTTTGTCAAAATATGTGCCTATTTTGTTTTTCCTTTCCCCTATACACGCATTTACATCAAGAAATTTATTTTGTCCTTATTCATGCTTTTTCGTCAAAAATTTTATTTTTTAAATTTTTGTAAAGAAATTTATATATATTGTTTTACCTTTTCCTTGCATTCGTTTTTGTCAAGAAATGTGCATATTTTGAGTAAATTCCAGAGAAAAAAAAACTAAAAAAAAATCTGACATTTTGTTTTTCAAAAACCTAAATTTTATGATTTTGGTGTCAAAAATCTTAAACCTGAAGTCGTCTTCTTGCTTCCAGATTCCAGGTGAAAGGAAGAAAACACCAGCTCCACTGCAGTGCATGAGTAACCAAAAGATATTTTATTGGTGATTATATCTGGGGCTGACAGGCCGATGTGAACAGGACGGTAAAGACACACACAGACAGGCAGAGCTCATCCAAACCATGTTCCATTTTCAGACCCATTCCTAACATCTGTGCCGTGATGTTTAAAAGTAGATCTACAAATAATATGATTGTTTCACGTGAGATCATGGTGGCATCGGTGAACTTTGACCTGCGGTGTCAGTCAGTTTTCTTCTGCAAAGTTTCTCCAAATTTTGCTTCCTTTGCCTCCGACTTGTGGCCGTCATGTTTGGCATGCATGTAAATGTTTGCATTGATCTGATATTCACACTTGATGCAGATGCATGGAAACAAAAATGACAAAATTCTTCTCAAGACAATCTGGGATAAATAGAAATAAAGAAGAAGGTTTTAAAGTCATTTTTATAACTGGGCTTTCTGTTTTGTATTTAAAAATAATTTGAATATTTGAGACCTTGAGGAAATAAAAATCTGTTCCTTATGTTGATAAACTAAAGCAAAACCACATGATGAAAGTCTGAACCTGCAGGACTGACCCACTTCTTTAGGCCCCGTTCACACCAGAACCAAACCAAACTACTTGAAAACCACAAATACTCCTAAAAGCATTTTAAGAGATAACGCCCCCGCCTGGCTGGAGTCGGTACAACATGCAGAACTTATTGCAACACTTTTGCATAAAGGTTCGAATTAATTGCAAAAGTACTAAATAATGTCGCTAAGCGAAATTTGAAGTAATTGCGTGAATTTTGAGCAAACCTTCAAAATGTCGCAAAAAATGGTAATTATTTGGGGTTTTATCTACTGGTTTGGAACGAGTCAATCAGGATACGCAAAGTGATATTTTGTCAGATGTTGATGTTACACTTTGAACATTTTCTGAGTTTTGTGTAAATACTATTCTACTTTCTGTTATACAGGAAAAATGACTAGTCGTTTTAATGTCAAATTCAAATTCTACTAACTGTTATACAGAAATTAGAATGTAGAATGTAGAGGGTGAACATTTGGCACATTTTACATGCACCACCAATTTTCCAAAACCCAAAATGCAACATTATTGGTTGATTAATCCAAGAAACATTTGAGATAGGAGAAAAAATTTGCTTACCAAACTACAGGGTAAATATTTTGTGGCAAATAAATTCTGTATCAGCCTAAAAATTCACATCATCCTCTTCACTGATTGGTTTCTGTTGCAAAATTGCTCAGATTTTGCTTTGCATTTGAAACTTCGAACAAGATTATTCAAAATTTTATCAAGCTAAAGAGATTTTTCTCAAAATTCTGTTCTCTCACACAATACATACTCTTCTATCTCTCAAAATGTAATTTCTGTACTCAGTGTGGTTCAAATGGATATGTGAAGTGAACCAGAGAATGCTCCAAAAACAGGAAGTTGACTAAAGCTCAGTGCATTCTGGGTAAATACAAATAAAACAAACGCACTTACAGGAAAAATGACTAGTCGTTTTAATGTCAAATTCAAATTCAAAAATACTTTATTAACCTCAAAGAGAAATCCTACAACCGCAAAAATCTGACACTGCACCATTTCTGTTTACATTTCATAAAGAAGGAAGTGTCTTCTTCAGAAGTGTTTATGATGTTTCCTTTAGTGGTTCTTGGTGCAGCGCCCCCACAGGCGAGGAGGAGAACAGGTTTTTCCATTAGTTTAGTTTAGTTTGACGGTGCAGTGTGAAAAAACTGCAGCAGCTGAAAATGTAACAAATGTTGGGATTTGTTTAGGAAAGTTGGTGCAAAATTGAACTGAACCTACCAGATTATCAGGTGTAACAGGGAGGTTTTAATTAAGAAATCCTAATGTTAGATTTCAAATCAATGCTCTTAATTTTTAAAATAAACGGCTGCAGGTCATTTTAAACTTTCTTGGAGTTCCAGGAAACATCAGGTCTGTTTTGATGTGGTGTGAAGGGGCATTACTAAATGTTCAGGTCACTTTCTCTGCAGGAACTTCATTACCTGGAGCAGAACGGATGCCAAATACAAAATAAAAAGAAACTAAAATAATAAATAAATGTTTTCTGTGGTGCAATGACAGTAGACTTTTACAATTCCACCAACTTTTTATGGCTTTTTTTACGAGTTTCCATGGAATAAACCAGAATACGGATGGACTGCAAAGACGAGTGAGTCCTATAAAGAAACCATGCAGTTGGTTTTATCGCGACTTGACATCATTTAGATTCAGGTTGTGATCAGGGAGAAGTTTGGGACTCAGAGGAGTTATGATGTTACCATGAGGGTCTTCACAAAGACTTAAGTAAAAAAACAAAAGAAACGTTATACGAGCAATTTGTGTTATGGAACATTCCTGGAAGACTGAGGGGACAAACATCCTCACACCAACAAAACCTGAGAGCTGTGGAGACCCTGGGAAAGAGCAGCGGCGCACACATTCAGACTTCAGCAAGACTGTTCAGTATGAACGACAGACAGGTGGGAAATGAATCAAAGATCGAACCCAACAAGGTTTGATGGAAGAGAATAAAAGAGCAGAAGAGAACCGGTTTCTGCCCAGGAGACCTCGTTCATTAAAATAACAGATTCTGCGCTTATAAAGAAACTTGAGATTTATGAAAACCTTGAAAACAAGTTGATCAAAATGACATTCAAGTAGAGTTTTTGGATATAAAAATAGAAGATGTAGCCTGTACAGTTCCTCAAAATCTGTAATCTTTATGTTATGAGTAGGTAAATTATGTTTTAATGAATGAGGCTCCTGGGAATCAAACATTAAGGCTATTTCACAATTAGATTAGCTAACGCTGAAGGATCAGAAATCCCGACTGCAGCGACGCAAGTTTCCGCAAGAAACAGAAGTCAGTCGTATTTTTAGCTTGCATCTGATTTTTAGCCTTTCAGTTGAGTCCATTTGTTAACATGCTGCCCACAGGCTGGGCAGTTTATTATGATCCATGGTGGAAACTGTCAGACTGGAGCAAAACTTTACAAGCTTTAAAACCATGTATTATATACATAACTACTTAATATTGATTAAAACATAAAGTATTAGTAACACTGGCAGACTGTCTTCACTGAAAACATTTTTCCCATAAGTGAAATGATCTGACAGCAGAACTAGAACTTTATTTTTTAAACGATAATAAGGACTTATTGGTCTTATATATTTATCTTCCTCTTCTGCTCTTTTCTTGAATCATGAAACATTAGAAACTGAGAGCAGTTCTGGTGCTGCTTCATCTGTGGAGCCGTTAAAAGAAACGTTTTGAAGGCGTCACAATAAACCAGGTGGATTTTTCACTAACCAGGTGTAAAGAAACAAAACGAAACGATTCCACCTTCTGGTTCCATTTCCTTCTCTCTTGATTTCTGAGGATTGATAAGAGACAGTGGGCCGTGTCTCCACTTACAGACAGACAGACAGATAATTACAGTAGATAGGACAGACAGAAGAGTTACATACAGCTACACTGCAAAATAACTAAATGTTACCAAGTATTTTTGGTCTAGTTTCTAATACGGATATTTTAGTACACCTGAAATAGAGTCAAAACTAACTGACAAGTAACTTTTCATCAAGATGCAGCAGCTTGTTTTAAGTCAGTAATGATGAAAATGTTCTAGTCCCACCTGTAGATTATTTCACCTATAACATGGAGAAATGTCTGTTATAAGTGAAATAATCTACTAGTTTAACAAGAATTATTGACTTTTAAACAAGTTGCTGCGTCTTGATGAAAAGTTAAATTAGTTTTGTCTCTATTTCAAGTCCACTGAGATATTTGCATTAGAAACTAGACCAAAGAACTTGGTAGGGTTTTGTGTTTTTGCAGTGTAAAGCTAATCTCAGAAAACAAACCGACATGGAACAGTATGAGCTACGTTTTACCGCGCTACCAGCAATCAGTAACAGCCTTTGAATTAAAGTGATGCTCGTGTTTCTCCTACTTTTTTTTGTTTAAAAAACCTCATACATTTGCAGTTCTCTGAAACGGCCACCAGGAGGCGACAGAGAAAGATCAAATCCGTCCTGTGGGTGAGCCAGGTCAGTCTGTTGCTCTCCAACCAAGCCCAGCTGCTGGAGCGAAGAAGAGGGGCCTCCACCATCGGTCTGTGGCCCCGCCTCCTGTCCATCCAGAGTTCGTAGGTTTCAATCCCAAAACGTCTGTCGCCACGCTCATTTCTTCTTCTTCTCCGAGCGTTTTCCGTCCGACTTTCCTGCCCGATCCGACTTCTCTGAGCGTTCCCCTCTCTCCCTCTCCTTTTCCTTCTCTTTCTCCTTCTCCCGTTCCTTCTCTTTGTCCGCGCGCTCTATCCGGTCTCCACGGTCGGAGCGCTCGCCGCCGCGGTCGGACCGGTTGTCCACCTTGCTGCCGTCTCGCCGTGTCCCTTCGTCGGTGGATGAGGTAGTTGGTTGGGGCTGGCCCCATTTGGCGATCTCCTCGTGCTCTGAAATGCTGGCGGTGATGTTGTTCACCCACGCCTTGAGGTCCTCCTGCGAGGACACGGACGAACAAAGTCAGCCGTTTCGATCGAGACAGAACAATAAACCAACGCCAAGAAAGTCTCACCTCGTCTTTTGCATGAAACAGAAATTCACTGCCATCCTTCGTTCTGCAACGGGAGAAAGGAAGATTCAATGTTCCAATGATGAAGATCAAATCTACAGACTGACAGTTGGTAAGTTTACAAGAGTTTATTATTTAAGACACAATAAAAAAATAGAAAAAGTTTAATTTGAATATTTTCAGGATTCCAGCAGCGATTCGACACGTTGTTTGGCGTTACAGTTTCATCCTTCTAAATCTACAGAGTTCCCAGTTCTTCAGCCGTTTCACTAACCAGGTGTAAAGAAACAAAACGAAACGATTTTGTTTCGTTTTGAAACTATTGGATGGATGGATGGATGGATGGATGGATGGATGGATGGATGGATGGATGGATGGATGGTCAAATGGTTTGTTTGTTGCTTGGTTGAATGAATGATGGATGGAAAGACATGAGGACCAATGGATGATGTCACTCAGCAGGTCTTGATGCTAACATGCTATCATGCTAGCTGAAACCAAACATGGCGGCCGGCCCTCACTTGAGCGTGAAGACGTTCTTCTTCTTCTTGTATCCATTGGTGACGTCGCAGTGGCAGTGGGACAGGCTGAGCAGCGGCTCGTTGTTGTAGGGCGTCGCCGTGTTCTTGGCGTCCTTGTAGAAGCCCAGCTCCCCTTTGTTCAGCACGCAGTACAGGTTGACCCATGACCTGCTGTGGTGGGTGGAGGAGGGGGAGAGGGTGGTGGGAGGAAGAGAAGGAGGGGGGAGAAGTGATGGCATAAGGGAAGGGGGGGGGGGGAAGGTAGGAAGGGGGGATTGGGAGGAGTCAGGAAGAGCTGCAGAGTCTCTGTTGCTAGGCTAACACCTGACTCACCTGACCAGAGCAGACAGGTAGGTAGGCGGGATGGACCAGCCCCAAGAAGGGAGGAGGATTTACACTGCTGAACAAACACAAATGAACGGACGCACACACGGATGACCTGGGAGGGGGGGGTGGAGCGGTGGAGTGGGAGGGGAGGGGCGGAGGGGGCGGAGCTACGTACGGCTCGGTGATCCAGTGTGCGGCGCCCGACTATGACTTACCTTGGAGGAGAACGGAGGGAGAGCCGGAAGCACAGCGGGGAAAAACACAGAAACAGAAGAAGAAGAGTTTGGTTAAATGCAATTTTTCCAATTAGGTTACATCTGATGAGCCAAGGGGTGTCCAAAGTGAGGCCCGGGGGCCATTCCTGGCTCTTGGACTGACATTTTTGTGGCCGTTTCAGAATAAAACAGATTTGACCTGCCAATCACAAATGATTGATAAAAATGGAAACTTTACATTTTTAATTAGGGTAAAATTATTATCAACATCATTTTTTTACAGTGAAAATCTTGAGTTCAACAAAAGTTGTGGCTGGATGATAAATCAATATTTGTATGTATATTGTATCACAATATGCATATTGTGATACAATATGTATCACAATAGGCACATGATCAATATCAACAGATATTCAATAATTTCACTGAACTTTGATCCAGAACCAGATGGCATTCTGGGAGATGTAGGCATAATAAGGACATTAGCTGCTAAACCTAAGCCTAAGCTAGGTTGGTGGTCAGCTAACTCACTCATTCACTATATGGTTGCCTAGCAACAACCTGCTGGGTAAGCAGCAGTTTAAAGTTCCACCCAACTTTGGTTGCCTAGCAACAACCTGCTAACTTGTGGAGCAGCAGTTTGGAGTTTCGCCTCAAAACTGTTTTAAAAAAAATGGACAAAACTGAAAAGGTCACACCGCCAGTCTGGCAATATTTCAGATATTTACAATAAAAAACTAATCAATAACTGATAGACTGATATAAAACGTTTATATTGTGATTCGTTTTTCAGCCATATCATCCAACCCTAACAAAAAGTATTCATCTTTTTAACAATCAAGGTTTTATAACATGCAGAACTTTTACAGAAAAGCCGACGGCTTTTATTTAATTTATTAAACGTTTTGAAAGAAAGTCCCCGAGTGCCATTCTTATAACTGGCTCTGTTTCCATTACAAATATTCACAAAACTTTAAATAATGTAGAAAAAAAAACACAATGTCATAATTGTCGTGTTTCCATTAAATAAGAAACTAAATTATAAACACACCTGAAACTTTATGCAATAAGTTATTAAAAAACATAATCCCAAAAGTACTTCCTGTTGTGTTCTTCTTCGTAGTTTCTGTTTAATTCCACTCAAAGGAATTTGGAAACTAATTTCATTTAATTTATTAACATTTTTGTAAATGTGCCAGATTTAGCCAAAAGGCTATTTTTAAAAACAATAAATACCAAACAACTTACAACACAATGATTATAAAATGATTATAAAAAGTATATACATTAAATCTAATTTATTTTTAATTCATATGATTTTAAATGATGAAAATGATTTGTTTGATTTTATTTTTATTTCTTTGGCCTGTCCGATCTTTTGTCTCAACGATTTTGGCCAACGTGACAAAACGTTTGGACACCCCTGTGTTAAAGCGACCGCATGCATGAAGCAAATCAACTGAGAGGAGGCATAGACACTGTGCAAAAGTCTTAGACCTATTAGATATTTGAATGATCCACCAACGAGAAGCCTGATGTTCCATAAATAATTTACAGAAGTGATCTCAGTTTCCGTCAGTTGGGAGAAAATAAAGGGAGAATCCTCACTCTCAAAAAATGGAAGAGTTTGATGCTATTTCATGTGAAAACAAACCAATTTAACCTTTAACTCAAATAAAGGAAAACATTTCTTAGGCGATTGCTTTAAATTTAGAAAATTAGTGCTGCATTAAAATAATAAACAAGTTTTAAGGCCTTAAACGTGTGCACAGTCCTTGGAGGAAATAAAATGCAGCTTTATATTCTGATAAAAACATCTGCAAACGAGCAAAAAGCTAAGGTGCACATAAGAAACGGTTTGTAATTAATGAAAGATTTGGTGAGCAATAAGATTACGCCAGATGGAAACACTGTGGAAAAATAAAGCACACCCTTGCAGTTTTTATAGCATTTAAAAAGGGAAAACAGAAAAAAATGTTGATTCTGTGAGCCGAGCTTCTGCCTCACAGAGCGCGATTCTTCCACTCAGCTCCTTCAGACTAGCCAGCAGCAATCAGCAAACACCTGGTGGAACTGCTGAGCTCATTATATGACCTAATATTCAGTACAACACTCCTGAGAACGGTTGTAAACAGCATAATGAGGAGCATTGTTTCAATAATCTGCTGAAGGCAGATTGTCGGATGGATTAGGGGCATCTTAAAGAGACAAAGACCCAATTTCACAGCAACTCAGTGTTTTTATAGCAATTGAAGGTAAGATAGTTTTTGATTATGATATAAAATGGCACCATGTGCCTAGAAAACACATAATACCGTCCCTTTAAGTGTTTTTCCTACAGTGGCCGACAGGAGCAAATGCGCCACAAACACTTAAATGAGGTAAACTCCAAATGCACACAAACAAATGCGCTGCAAACAGTAAATAGCAGGTAGAAGTAACAGTGGAAATGCAGCAAAAACAGCAGCAAGAATGAAACAGAAAAGCCCTCCAGGACACTAGGGGGAGCCAAACATCTTATTTGGTCCCATCAAATAAGATGGGACCAGACCCTCAGTAAAGCTGGAATATCCAGAAGAAAGAAAAACCTGCATTACATAAGTACCTATATGTTTTGTACAATATTATAATATCCTGATGTTACCAACATCAGGATATTTATGTTGGTAACTAGACTCCCCCTAGTGGTCTGGAGGACTTCCATTTTGTGAAGTATTTTATTATTTGCAGTTTTTGCAGGATTTTCCCTTTTGCTTCCATTTCTTGTGGGTGTAGTATTTTCTGCGCTGTAGTCCACTTCCTGCTTTTGAAGCGGCCTCTGGTCCGCTTGGCGTTCACATACGCATTTGAACTGAACCAGAGATCATTTCAACCGAACTGAGACTGAACCAAACTTTCTAGGCTAATTAAATAATGACTGTGTGTGACTGGTTATGTGGTTTGGCACAATAAAAGCTCTGGAAAAACCCCAGAGATAAAGAAGGGTGTACTTTCTTTTTCCCACCAGTCAACTAAACCACAATAAATTCAATCTAAAAGCACCATATTCAGCGACATATTTTGCAGGTTTCATCAGAATATTAATACGCACAGAACCACAGAGTGACAGTTTGTAGAGTCGCGACGTAACGGTGACGGGTTGAATCCCAATGATTCAACACTGGATTCAAGCCATTCACAGTTGTGCTTTACCTTCCCATGTACATAACAGGGCATGTACATACGGCCGCATTCATCCACTGCCGTGAGTGGGCACGTGAGTAGGCGTCATCCGTTGCTGGAACTGGATGAGCTTTTGGCTGTGTGTGATGGGAGCGGCCACCAGAGGGCGGCGGAGAGCGGGTCAGAGTGGGGGCTCGTCTGGGGAATGTGTGCGGGTTTGCGAGCGGATCGGTCCGCTCTCGCTGCGCTCTTCATCCAGCCAGTTAGTCAGCGAGTGAAGCAGCCGCCTCAGCTGCGTGGCGTTCAGGTTAAGCGTCATGCGTGGAGTTTCATCATGCTGTGGGAAACTTTTTATTTCATGAAACTGTTGTCCTCACATTCTGAATGCAACGATTAAGATGTTTAGATACACAGCACCATTAATGTTATCACCCCTGGTAAAATGCAGCTTTTTATTCATACAGTAGAAAATAAAACTCCATGTTAAGTAATAATTTATTTTTTTAACTTTTTTATTTTCACAGAAGTTCTGGCTGGAACTTTGTATTTTGTTTCTGGTACGACCCGAAATCTGATGCACAAACATCTGTAAACAACAGCAGTGGTTGAATTTTAATACACTTAAATCCAGCAAACATTGCAAATAATTAATATAGTTTTTTACACACAAAGGTTCTTATCGGAACCTTTGTTGTGTGTTTCTGGTACGCCGGTAAATCTGACGCACAACGACATCGACTAACAGCAGCGATGGACGACAAAGCTGCTTCTCTCGGCCCCCTGGGGTTAATTTTTGCTTCAAATAACGATCTGATTGGACGCAGAGAAATACTGTTGAGGTGTTCAAGTTGTGCTAAAAGGAGTTAGACTATCAGAGAATAAATAGTTAGCAAATTAGAAACTTAAATTACAGGAAAAAACATCTGATTTCTTCAAAAAAAAAAAAAAAAATCAAATTGATTTTGGCTAAAAAAATATTTGAAAGATCAGATTTCAGGAAAAAAATCTGAAAAATCAGATAAAAAAAATGATTTCAGCAAAAAAAAAATAAAAAAATCCAACATGTGTGAACGTTGCGAATACCCGTTGAAAATCACCTTCCAATCGATCCAATCGATCAATGTTTTTGAATCTTTTTGTCACATTGTTACCAGGGGTAAAGTAAGTGTGGAGGCACTGTGGCTGCATGATTCTTCTGCTTCAAAATAAAAAACCTCAAAACCTGTCTGAGCTCCTAAATCAGTGAACTCCATTTTGAAATCTGGCTGCAATGGAGGAAGGAAGACCTGAGCGCTGAGCAGAACCACGGCTGAACTTTGGTTCGGCTGCAGCTTGTAAGGACCACATGTCAGCCGAGTCATGCATCTTCCCAACACATCAGATGCAAAAGTCGTAACTCTGCATGCTGAATTTGCGCCCCGTTGCCATCGAATGATCAATAAACACAACAGGGATTATTAAAGCCAGAAGAGATTCAAAATATTCCACCCATTTATGGTTAAAACTCAAAGGGAACTTTAGGGAATTTGGAAATTGGAGTCCGTTAATTTGGATGGTCATGACAGCAGGGAGCATCCTGCGCGCCGGCGGCCCGCCGGGCCCTGAAGACCCACCTGTTGGTGCTCTTCTTCATGCTCTCGATGTCCAGCTTGCGGAACAGGAAGCCCTCGTGGTGCGCCGTGTGGGTGGGCGGCTGCGGCGCCGCCTGGCTGCTCTGGGCCGGAGCCGATCGGGAACGCCGCGTCGTCTCTCCCGGCTCTTTGGGGCGCGGCCGCCGTCTGGGTTTGGGTCGGTCCCGGGCTCTGGGCCGGTCCGGACGGGAAGACTTCTCTGGCAGACCGTTGGGCAGGCGGGGAACCTCGCCACGCGCCTGAGGGCGAGAAGGAAGAAGGTTCATCGACTGACGATTAACTGATAAGCGGCCATTTTCTTAAAAACCCGAGTCCAGTCGTCTCTCTGTAACACTTTTATCATAATATTCTGAATTAAACAAAAATATAATCAGATTTTAACATCACTTTGAGTCAGCTGTGCTATAAATACTGACTGAATAAACAGAAAACTGAGGTTTTCTCACAGTTTTATAATTGGATATATTTATAAAAACTAAAGAGGGAAACTGTTAGACTGCTGAATAAGAAAAAAAACGATGGGAAGTGTTTTAAGTCACGACTACGACGGTGTGCTAGAGCCATTCTAGGTGACAAATTTCCACCAAAAAACTCAGAAACTGAAAAATTAGGAAATTTCTGAGCCTGAAAAGTAAAATAAAAATTCTAGAAAATCAATTAGATTGATTTTGAACATTTTTGACTTTTAACACAGAATTTTTTTTTCCAAGAACATTTTTCAAACACCAAGTTTTTTCTAGGAATAAGAGCAGCCGTCCCTCTCTCAGCTCCTTCAGACTAGCCAGCAGCAATTAGCAAACACCTGCTGAGCTCATTATAGGAGCTGCTGCTCAGAGCAACGCTGGTAAAATAGCTGTTAAAGGGTTAATAGAGGAGCCATGTTGGGATGATTTCCTGAAGGCGGAGCTTCAGAGAGAGCAGGAAAAGCTTCTTAAAGAGACAGAGGCCCAATTTCAAGGCGTTAAATTACAAAGTCAAATTTTAGCATTTTGATTACAACTGATGCCAGTTTACAGCATAAACTGCAAGCTGGCCTGGAAAATACATAATACCGCCCCTTTAAGAAACAGGAAGAAAACTGTGACAACTTTGAACTTTGACCTTTGAAGTAAGAGTCCAAACCTGTGCTGCTTCTCTTTCTTGAAGCTGCTCTACAATTTCTGCCATGGTTGTTCGCTTCTCTCTGTGGAAACAATCACAGTTATCATGGTAAATAATTTGTTTTTGTTATTTTAGCTCCACTTGCAAATTATTTAACTTATAACAAGAAATTTTCCCAGATCACAAGAGAAATAATCTCCCAATCAACTAGTAATTTTTCATCAATATTAAGGAATTATTCATTTAAAATAAGCTCTTAAATCTTAATGAATAGTTACTTATAAGCCGAGGTGCGTAGAGTAATAAATAAGTACAGCGTAGTAAAAAAAAGTTTTATTTTCTAAATAACTACTAAATGTCCTGAGTGGTTTTTTAGAGTCCGGCTCTCTGAGGTTTTTTGTCTCACCCTGCGGTGGAGCGCCGGTCGGACTGCTCCCTCCCCACGTCGTTGTCGCTGGACTCCTGCCTCTCCACTCGGTGGCGCTCTCTCTCTCTCCGCCGGCCTTCGTGTCCTTCCTGTTCGCTGGACGTCTGCCGCTCCAGCGTCCGCTTGTCGCGCCGCCCCGCCTGCTCCCTCCAGACTTCCTGCGGCAGCTCGTCGCGCCGCGCCTGGATCAGCTGCTCGCTGGACAGCTGCCGCTGATACGCCTGGACCTGCGGCTCGGCGCGGTCCAGTGAGTCGGTTCTGGACCCACGGGGCCCCCTGGTGGGCTCGCTGTGCAGCCGCTCCCGGCCCGGCTCCTGGAGCACCACCTCCGCCATCACCGCCACCTCCGCCCGCTCCTCTCTCTCCCTCCCTCGCTCTCTCACTCGCTCCAGGCGGCTCGCCACGATCAGCGGCGTCACCGCGTCGTCCAGGTGTTTGATCTTCGGTTGCCGTAGATACGGCGACGTCTTCGCCTCCGGCTGCAGGTAGCTCATGGCTTTCGTCGCCTGCTCCCTCGCCGAGCTCGCGCTTTCCCGCATCTGATTGGCTGACACCAACATGGCCGCCGTGGCAACAGAGGCGATGGACGAGGCAGCCGGCTGCACGGCCACCACGCCGCCGTGCCGGTAGCCGGAGCCGTTGATGACGGCGGAGGCGAGCCGGCGGGCGGCCGCCGACGGCGATGGCGTGGGCGTGGCGGGCGAGGGCGACGGCGGCGTGCTGGCTTCGTTCTGCTCGTAGATGGTCTGCCTCATGACGGGGGAGACGGGGAGGCGGGGCAGCGCGGCCGGGCCCGGCGCCGCGTCCTGAGGGTCCAGGAAGACTTTCCGGCCCAGCAGCGGCGTCGGCGGCAGCTTGCTCTGCTCCGCTCTCAGCTTTTCCACCTGGAAAAGGTAAAAAACAAAAAAGAAAAACAAGTTTAGAAGTAAAACGAAACTAAAAAGCTTCAGGTTGTTGTTTGCAAAATAAAAATATTATAAAATTGGTTCCTGTGGAATAAATAAAAATACAAACAAAAATTTTTGAGGGAAAAATCGGAAACGCCATAAGGTTCAGAAAATGATATTTCACCGAAGCAACAATAAATGTAGTTTAGAGTCAAAATGAACTAAATTCAGGTTATTTAGTCTGTCGTAAAAAAACTACTTCATTTTTCAAAGTCATATTTTCAACATATTTCTTTTATAAATGTTAGTTTTAAACTAAATATTTAGTTACCATGTTAAATGTTTAATGTGAAGCAGAACATTTAGGTTCAAGCTAAGTACTTAGCTTGATGTATATACAGTAGATAGATGTATAGGTAGAGGATAAAAAATATTTACCTTCAAGCAAAAATATTTAGTTCAGAGCTAAAACATTCAGTTTGAAGCTGAATATTTTGTTTGCAGGTAAATGTTTAAGTAGCAAAGGATACATTTAGCTCTGATCTACCTAAATGTTTAAACTAAATGCTTAGCTAGCTCAGGGCTAAATCATAAGTCAGTATGTAAATTCCCTAGCTTTCAGTATTTTGGACCGACTCGGTGTCCATGGCGGTTTTACCGTAGTGAGACGCCGCAGCGAGCTGAATCTCTCCTCCCAGGTGGCGGCGGCTTTCCGGAAGGCTTCGTGTCGGCGAATGAGCTGCTCCACCTCGTCCACGCTGCCGCCCAGCTCCTTGCTGCTGATCAGCGGTTCCTGGGCCGTCAGCCAGGCCTCCGCCACCATTGCCTCCTGGGCGAACTGGTGAACCTCCAACACTGGCAGCAAAACGGAAGGAACAGGCGGAGTATTTAAGAACAGAAAGTGTGATGACGTCTCCATTTAGGATGGGTGTTTGTGCTCACGCTGCTGGAGGAACTCCCAGTGTTTGTCCCACTTCTCTGAAAGCTCACGCTGCTTCGCAATCACCTTTTCCAGCTTCTCCTTGATCTAAAATTTGAAAACAAACATCAGAATTACAAAACTACACAGCTCATTTTTGGAAAATGTTAGCATTTACTTCAAAGACATCGGATTAAATCTAATTAATGGCAATGATTGGAATTAATTAGCTTCTCACAGAGTTCATTTTTCAGTCATATTTTCACAATGTTAGTCATTCATTTATAATGTCGCAATTTCAAAATAATTAAGTTAGCAAGCTACATAATTAATCAACCAAATATTTAGGTACAAACTCAATTTTTAAATATTTAGCTACTTCAGAGCTGGTAAAATATTATAGTAGCTCTGAGTTAGCCAAACATACAGCTAACTCAGAGCTAAATATTTAGCTTGGAGCTAAATGGTTAACTAGCACACTAAACATTTATGATGATAAATATTTAACTTGTTTACAAAATATTTCGCTTCAAACTAAGTAGCTTGCTAGCTAAATATTTAGCTCAAAACTCAACATTCAAATATTAAGCTAGCTCAGAGCTAACTCAATATTTAGCTAACTCAGAGCTAATCAAATATTAACTACTTCAGTGCTAAATATTTAGCTAACTAATGCTAATCTATTTAGCGTTAATACTAATTATTCATGGTGTTAAGCATTTTGCTTGCTTATTAAGTATTTAGATTTCTAACTCACTATTTAGCTTCAATCTAAATAGTTAGCTTGTTAGCTAAATATTTAGCTTCAAATTAAATGTTTAAATATTTAGGTAGCTCAGAGCTAAATATTTTGTTTGGAGCTAAATAGTTAACTTGCATACTACTTATTTGTGGAAATAACTAACCAAATTTTAGTTTGCAAAATAAATATTTCCAATTATTGAAACTAAATATTTAGTTTCAACATAAAATTTTAGTTTGGAGCTAAATATTTAGTTGGTAAACTAAGAATGGGCTAAAGACTCAGACATCTATCGTAAAAATTTTGTGGTAGGACGCCCGAAATGTTTAGTTCTGGCGAGAATTGTCCACGTCTGCCTCCTGCAGAATATGAACATCTCGTCTGATCGCTGCATCATTTGCCCAAAAGTGATGTCTGCTTGTGTTATTGTTATGTAATCTCACCTCCTCAGCTGCAGGGTTTCTAGCAGCCAGCAGCATTTTTCCCATTTCGATGCACTCCAGCGTGCTCTGGCTGCGGGCCTCCACTTCGCTCTTCAGGCTCTGGTGGTAGTTCATCAACACCTCCACCGACGACACGTCCCTGCAGGAACCGCAGAACCATCACATCTGCTCTGCATTTACAGGCCACCATGTTGCTTTTTAACAAGTGAATATTCTTCAGAACTAAACATTTCATCACAGTTTAAACATAATTTAGGTCATTTATCAAGTTACAAAAGAAAAAAATGAGGGTTTATTTTTCCAAATCACATTTTCACCAAGTCAAATGAATGACATTGATAAAAATGTAGCTTTAAAATACATATTTAGTTAGCAAACTGAAGATTTAGTTTAAATCTAAATATTTATCTAGTAGACAAAATCACTTGCTAAGTACAGGATGTGGACTATCAAAATAAAAGCTGAGTCTAGCAAGTATTTAAACAACACCTGCTGGTGAGGTGGTGCAGTCACTGCTGCTGCAGATTCACTGGTAAACCAAATATTTAGCTTCAGGCTGAAGTTTTCATTTGAAGCTAAATATTTAGCTTGATAACTCTTGATTGGCTTTTAACTAAGCCAGTTAGTAGTTAATGAGCTAAACATTAACTACTATATTTAAATATTTAACTCAGAGCTAAATGTTTAGTGAGCTAATTTCTGATTGGCTTTGGACAACTTAGCCAATCAGAAGTTAACAAGCTAAATATTTACCTCAGAGCTAGTTTGAAGCTGAATTTTGAGCTTGAAGCTAAATATTCAGTTTGCTAACCTCTGATTGGCTTTGGATAACTAAACCAATCAGAAGAGCTTAGTCTCCTCCCACCAGGAAGCTCCACTCTGAAGGTTCAGGGTGACACGAACCATATCTATCCGCCTCACCAGGATCATTTTCTGGGGTAAATTTCTTCTCTGGCAGTTTTTTTCTGGTAATTGCATTAGCAATAAAGCTAAAGCTAGCTTTTATTCACAAGGTTACATATGAAAATAAACCTCCAGCTGCTGGATTTTCTGCACACCTGGGTTTCTCCCCGGTGCCGATCTGACAGATGATGGACTCCATCCACATGATCTGATCCCGGACCATGCTGAAGAACCTCAGCTTGTCCGTTTCCGTGGTGATCTGCAGCCGGCACTCTTCGCAGGACGTCAGCAGCTCCTTCCAGCACTGCATCACTTCGTGCTCACGGCAAGCGATGGCTTCGGCCTTCTCGCCCGCGTACACCGTCCTCAGCTGGGCCGCGCTCTCCTGCAGCTGACGCACCTGTGATCATAACGTAGCGATGAGTAAACGGCGGGTTTAAGAGGAGAAAGCGCAGCTGCTCAGGACATTCTGGGGCTCTGCACAGAGCAGCTGTGCTTTTTGCATTGTTCCTCAGGAAAATTAATCACTTTCTCTGCACTGCAGGTTCTTACACAGTAAATTGGTAGTTTTACCAAAACAAACTTCACTGTAAAAACACAAAATCTTACCAAGTATTTTTAGTTTTTGGTCTATTTTCTAGTACAAATATCTTATTACACTTGAAATAAGACAAAAGTAGCATTTCAGCAAGAAATATGTATTTCTTTTTCAGCAAGAAATATTTATTTCTTTTTCAGCAAGAAATATTTATTTCTTGCTGAAAAATATGAAAAATGTGAAAAAGTAACATTTTTCACGTTATTTCACTGATAACATGTGAAAAATGTCTTCTTATAAGTGAATAAATCTGGCAGTGGAACTAGAACTCTGTTGCTAGGAGACAAGCTGGGCTTGGCCTACGGTTGCTAGGTAACAGCACAGTTACAGTTGTTTACGAACTGGAACTTTTTCCATCAGTATTAAGGAATTACTGACTTAAAATAAGCTCCTATTTCTTGTTGAAAAGTTACCTGTAAGTTAGTTTTGTCTTATTTCAAGTGTGGTACAACATTTCTACTAGAAACTAGACCAAAAAATATATAAAAAAACACTTGGTAATACCTGTGTTGGTAAGGTACCAAAGTAATTTGTAGCATAAAAGAACCATAGGTTTGAAATAAGTATTCATTTTAATAATAAATTAGTCTTAAACAAAAGCTAAAATCTCTGAATCAAAGACTTTATATGAACATTTTTCCATTTTTAGGAACAACATATACACACAAAAAGTCTTTGTTTACAAACATTCTTCAATAAATAATTCCTTAATATCGATGAAAATGTTCTAGTTCCACTGATAGATTATTTCACTTATAACAAGGAAAAATGTTATAAGTGAAATAATCTAGTAGTTTTTCATCTGTCTTAAGGAATATATTGATTTAAAATAAGCTCCTTTTGCTCCAAAGTTACTTGTAAGTTGTTTTTGTCTTAATTCAAGTGAATAAAGAAACTGAACCTAAAGTACTTGGTAGCATTTGGTGTTTTTGCAGTTGAGTTAGCAGCATTTATTTTTGCCCAGGTTTGTTTTATTAGGTTTTTTTTCATTATTCTAAAGCATTGTCTGATTTCTATTTGTTAATTTTTGGTAAATTTGGTAAAGTTGGTTTTGGTAAGTTTGGTAAAGTTATTTCAGTTTTTGGAAACTGAAATAACTTCAAGTTATTTCAGTGACCTTTCTTAATCATTAACGAACAGGAACCAATAACTTTGTCCGTCTGTGTAAGTACTGCAGAGGTTCTCCTTGTCTTTAATTTTTAATAAGTCTGACTTTCAAATGGTCAAATGGTCAAATGAGAAACTGTAAAACCTCCCAGCAGCTTCCAGATGTAGAGCATATAGATGCCAGAGCAGGCAGCGAGTGTCTGCTGTACCTGAGTGACCAGCAGCTGGATGTCCTGTTCGAAGCTCTGCAGGAGCCTCTGCAGCGTGCTGGTGTTGGACGTGCTGCCCTGCCGAGCCCGGACCTCTGGGAGCCGCCGGTGCTTATCCTCAATCTGGGCCAAGATCTGGAAATTAAGAAATATTATGGAAATCTGCCGAAATAAAAAATAATAAAGACCAAATACACTTTTTAATCAAACAATTAGAGTGATTTGCAGTAATTTTAAAAAGAAGGATTCTTTATTAAGCCTATTTTCACATCCAGTCTGGTAGAATTGGTTTGATTGGGACCAAAGTTGCAGCGTTTTCTGTGGTTCGCTTTCACAATGCAAACTGACAACAGATCCAAACTAATTGGAAAACCTGTTCCCCTCCTCACCTGTGGTGGCGCTGTACACAGAACTACTGAAGGAAACAACGTGAAAACCTCTGGGGAAGAACTGAGCGCAACTTCCTTCTTTACTAAATGTAAACAAAAATGGAGTAGTGGTGACTTTTAGAAGTTGTACGATTTCTCTTTTGTCTTTGGTAAAAGACCACAAGCTATTTTTACCTCTAGCACTAGGCTAAGGCATTTCTTTTGGCTGTATTTACCCAGAATGCCCTGTGCTGTAGTCCACTTCCTGCTTTTGGAGCAGTCTCCAGTATGCTTGGCGTTCACATATGCTTTCAAACTGAACCAGAATTCACTTCATCAGAACTGAGACCGATGTTTGTAGGCGGACCAGAGTTCATTTTTACCAATTTGTGTTTGGATTTTGTTTGTAAAATGTTAAAATGTTCAACTGTTGAGGTGTTTGATTTATATTTTTCTCTTTTTGATTTAGTCGTCTACTAACATACTGCGTTTCCATTGACCATAAATCTGCACAAATTGAAATTCCGAAATGAAATTTGCTCAGTGGAATCATGGCAATTTTGGAAAAAAAAAAAAAAAAAAAAAAACACAATCACGTTTCTTGATAAACTTTTTGCTGTAGGTGTTTTTTGGTTGTATAGAAATAGATTTATTTAGCAAAACTGCAGTGGAAACTTTTTTTGAATCACAGGAGCCACGTGATCAATAGCAGGAAGTTACTACTGGCAGAAATGCTGAATAAGAGACAGGAAGTGGTAGGAGGGTGATGGTTTCTTTTTCTTTTTTCTGGCTCCACCAGAGCATCACAAAGTTAAAAAAAAAACTTTTTTATGTCATTCCAATGTGTTAAATCCATAGCACTAATATAACATAGCCTATTACAATTTCCCCAAAACGCAGCCGCTCCTAAGTAGGCAGGACTTGATGCTCAAACATCTAAATAAGACGCAAACGTCTCCTCTGATTGACTGATAGACAATGAACGCCGAATTATGAGTATATCTCATGTAACTGCTATAATTTTTAATGAGCTGTGAGTGATGTTAATTACATTTCTTATTTAACAGAGTTTTTTTTGACATTAGCAGAATATCGACAAAGATTTCCACAGATTTGAAATGGAAACTCAGCTACTGTCTTTGTTTTACCTCTTTGCAGTCGGAGAAGAACTTGTGCAGCTGGTGAGAAGCAGCGAGCATCTGCGCTCGGGTCTCCATGAGCTCCAGCAGGTCGGCCCAGGCCTCGTTGACCCCGTCCTTCCACTCGGCGATGGTGGCGGCCTCAGAGTGGCCATAGTCAATCAGCTCGTCCACCATCTGATTGACGGCCGTCACACGCTCCTGTCCCACACTTCCTGTCTCCGACGCAAACTCTGTGAACTTTTCCTGGAGGACCTGGAAGCATTTCAAAAATGAAACAATTAAACTACTGTTTTTATCTGTCATAATTAGAGATGATGCTATTTACCAAATGTTCACCTACGGCAAATAACTAGGACATTTTCTGGAGTTTTTCTGTATTATTTTTATAACAACACATATAAAGTTACGTAAAGTGTAACAGTTTCACATGATGGGAGATGAAGTGCTGTTTACCTGCAAATGTCAGAAGTGGTAGAATAACCATTTATAATAAACTAACAAATAAATAAAAGCAAAAATAATAACTAAAGCATACAACACAAAACTGTCAAAATAAATAGTTAAATTAATGCAAACAAAAACAAATGCACTGATAACTAGCTAACTAACTTAAAGATAAATGATTATACACACCAGTCACATGAATAAATAAACAAAACAAATAAGTAAAAGCCAAACAATAACTAAATATACTTCCAACAAGTAAGAGTCAAATAAATTACTAAAATCCTAACCTTAAAACCAAACAGTCATATGTGAATCAGCCAAACAAAAAAAATATTGTAAATACATTGATTACTAACTAACTAAAAGCCAGATAAATAAGTATGCAGATGATACACATATAAAAACAGTCACATGAGAAAATAAAACAAATAAAAAAAACTAATAATGAATAACTAAATAAGCAACTGTTGGATTACTAAAAATCACAAACAAAAACAGAGTAGTAAAATGTAATTTGGCCAATTACTAAATAAAATAAATACACTAATTATGACCAAAGTAACTAAAAGGCACATGAATAGTTATACAGATTTTACACAAATAAACATTACCTTAAATATTAAATAAATAAATAAAACATAAGAAATAAACTTACAATAAATGAAAAATAAAAATAAACTACATGAACAAAAATTATCATACATAAATTTGCCAGATAAATTAACAAATACAAAAATAAAATACTGATAACTAAACAAACATATAACACAACAGTTAAAAGCTAATATATAAAACAAACAAAAGTACTTATAAAAACAGTAACAGAAATAGTTAGTCAGTTAAACACAGACTAGCTATTGATATTGATACAAACGGAATAAAATAAAAAAACAGCAGCAACACATAACATATTTTATTTTATAAATCATCCAACTATGGCTTATTTTAGTACACATTATTCTATTTGATCTTTTTACGAGTTTTTAATCCTCAATTTCAAAGAGCTTGTAAAGGTGAAATGTGACAGAGAAAACTGCTGAGTCACTGGTTGCTATGGCAATTCCCTCCCTTTTTGAGGGAATTCCAGAAACCATGGAAACGTAACGGTCCAAACTAAACTGTTAATATTTTAAGTAGGTCATGATTTTTACAAGAAAATGTCAAAACATTATCATTTCTAATTTGACTTGAGTTGGATTTTATATTTTGTCAAACAATACATTTAAAAGAAATAATGTTACAATATGTTAAATTAACTTAGTTTTGTAAACTTTAATCAGTCCTAATTTTTTAAATGTTTTTGGTATCCAAAAATAATAGAAGAAAAAGCCCAGAAGATACACAAATAAAAAAATAATTCAAAATGTCCGCCTCTCCCCCAGACTTGTGAAAAGCAGACTCACGGAGACGTGCTCAAAGTCCTGGCCCAGTTCAGGCGAGCTGGCCACCACCTCCCTCTGGGCGATCCACTGCTCCAGCTCGTCCACCTCCCTGTTGAGCTGGTACAGCCAGTACTGCTGCTCCAGGCGGCTCTTCCTCTCCTCCACCAGGTCCTTCAGAGACACGTACAGACGGTCGATCTGCGACTGACGCTTGCTGATCTGTTCGCTGAGGGTGAAAGCACACAGACAGGAAAGACGCTAACTTTAAACTCCTTAAAGTCCAGTGGAATAAACTTTTGTCAAACAATGCTTCACGTTAATTCAGTTTCTTAGTAAATAGGGATGTTAAAACATCTTACTCAAGAGAAGATTTCAATGCAAACATAAATTCAAATAAATAAAGAAGAATAACGAGCGACTCACATCCTGTTCTGAGAACGCACATAAAAAAATCCAGACAAAGTAACACAGTCAATATTTAGGATAAGATCAATAATAACTGTTGTTTCCAAAAGTCTTATTATGACTCATATCATTTTTTATGTCATATACATTACATACACTATATATAACATTCATTTATTTTTTTATATATTTATTTTAAAATATCGTTTTGCTCAGAGCTGTCCAGGCAAACATTTTTTGTTTTCCAAAAAAAAAATTTAAATAATAATAATTAAATTCACAAATACTTTACTCATCCCAAAGGGAAAATAAATTCAATTATTTAAATTAAAAAGGCAAAAATATCAGTGTTTTTTGTCCTCGGTTTCAGCCCATGCAGTGAAACGTTTGGACGTTGCTGCTCTAACTGGCTGTGATGGGGGATAATCTGTGAGATTATGTGTTTCTGAGCCCACCTGTCTGGATGCCCCATCTCCAGCAGCTGGCGACATTGCTGTGACAGCAGACCGATGGTCTCAGCATAATCCTCGATGGTTTGCTCCAGCAGCAAATGTTTCTTCAGCAGCTGCAGCGTGCTCGGCTCGTCCTGGAGAGTAAACACAGAGTTATTCACAGAAGATGAGTTTCCTTTACAAATGGTTGCAAAACTTTATCTGTATTCTGCTAATCTTGAAAAACACAATTTCGCAACTGCAGTGTTTCCATTAAGCAAGAGATGCAATTAAAACTCACACGTGAGTAAGTTTGTCCACATTTTTTAATTTCCACATTCATTAAAAAACGTGCCACGCCATCATCCTCCTACCACTTCCTGTCATCATCTTCATTGTTTTCGTCAGTAGTAACATCCATTTATTGCTCATGTGACTCGTGTGATGCTAAAAAACTGTTTCCATTGAACTTATGTGAAATAAATCAATTACAAAACTTTTTATCAAGAATTTCTTTCTAAATTAGTGCATTTCCATTAAGCAAATTTAGTTTTTAAATGTCAAATTGTACAGTTTTAAGATCAATCATTACAAATGTGTGCAAAGCTTTAATATTCCGCTAATGTTGCTAATGTTTCCAAGGAATGCAGTTAAAATCAAACGTGAATAAAATTTGTTTGCACTGTAAGTCATTAAAAAAAGTAGCGCCATCATCCTCAAACCATTTCCTGTCTCTTTGTCGATTCCCCCGGTAGTAACTTCCTGTCGGTGATCATGTGACGTGAAAAAATGTTTCCATTACAATACACTAAATTTGTTTCCTTTTCTATTTTTACTAAAAACTTTAGTTTCTTTTGTTTTGTTTTACTGGCATATTTCCATTCAGGATATTTATTTTCCAAATTGTACGATTTTAATGGAAACGCAGCTAGCGGCAACATCGGTTATTGATCACGTGACTCGTGTGTTGCAAAAAAAAAAAAGTTTCCATTGAAGTTTTGCGAATTAAACCAATTTTGATACGGCCAAAAAACTTCATCCTAACTGCAAAACTTATCGAAAAACTAAGTTTTTTTTCCAAATTGGCATTATTCCATTACGTGAATTTATTTTTGAAATGTCAAATTACGCAATCATATGGCCAATGGAAATGCAGCTTCTCAAACACTCGTATTCCAGTAAAGCGTCAACCGAAGTACCTTTCCCTTCTCCTCGTTCATCATGTGCAGCTCCTGCTCACTCAGCCAGGCCTCGACCTCGGCCGTGTCGAAGTAGTACTGCTGGGCTTGGTACATGGCATCCAGAACCAGCTGCCTGCGCTCTGTCTCGGCCCAGAGCAGGGCCCACAGCTGGGCCAGCTGGTCGTGGCCCGCCCTGACGCAGTCGGCCTCTGGGCTCCTGATGGTGGCGATGATGCCTGCCCTCTCCAGGACGTCTTCCATCCTGCTCCGGTGGCCCTCCAGCTCCCTCTGGAGCGTCTGCAGCAACACAGAAAACTGTTCGCTTGAAAATGTATACATCAGGAAAACAGAAACTTTATTTGTGTAATAAAAAGGTTACAGCAAAAGGAATCCCCTTTCCAAAGACCAGTGCTGTTTGTGAAGCATTGACATAAATTCGACATGTAAGAAATGTATAAAGTTAGAACCAGAAATTAAGCAAACTATATCTGTTACGAGAAAAATGGAGGCTCAGATGTTTTTGTTGAACATTTTCTGTTCACTTTTTATTGAACAAATAATAGCAAGAGATGTTCGTATCCTAGCAACCGAAAAACAACAGAAGCCAAGACAGAGACAAAAGACAAACCAGATCCTGTTAAGCATTCTTCAAAATAAAAGACTTCCTTTCTCCAAATAAATCATGCTTTGCAATTAAATAAGATAATAATAATAATAATAATAATAATAATAATAATAATAATAATAATAATATGATCAATACATTTTAAAGTCAAATGAACATTTATCACTGGAACAGGAAGACATTTTAAATATCCAAAATAAATAAACTAAATGATTCTTCAAATGTTGTTTTCCAATTTTTGGATGGAAAGAGAAAACTGATTAATCATGCAAATAAAAATTGAGTTAATTTATCATGCAATTTATTTATTGTGACCTTCCAATTAACATATAACTGTAAATATCAACATCTGTATTTGCTCATTGTTTACACTATAGATTGGCCTAGCTAAGTGATAGTAAATTATGTTATAAAAAATTGTATGTATTAATTAAAAAGTAAGATTTTAAAATATTTTCAGATGCAGGTAATGCATCCATGAGGATGGAAAAGCTCTATGAAGTCTAAATAATAACAACACAAGCTGTTATTTTACCTGGTTCTTCTTCATGAGCTGCTGGACGGCTTGCAGCGATGAGCCGTGCTCCTGGCTCATGGCCAGAGGGAGGCGCTCCTGGACCCACAACTAAACAAACACGGGACACACAGAAGTTAAAAGAAAACTTTTATGCAAAATTCAAATTTTTATACTTTCATTTGGGTCTCAGCTGCTTCTAAAAACAATGTTTAAAAACAAAAAACATGCAGCCATTTTTTTTTGGAATAAATTTGTTTTTTTGGTGTCTGTAAAATGAGCCATTTAAAAAACCTCCAGAGTGGAACTCCGCCCGTTACCTAGCAACCCCAGTGGAACTCCGCCCGTTACCTAGCAACCTAAGCAGAGCCTGTTCCAGAAGCACAATCCGTCAACTAATTAATAAAAATACTTCCAGGGAGGGAATTTTTTTTATTTATTTTTCATTTAAGTAGAATAAAAATAATTAAAGATAAAAACCATATGCAAAAATCCATAGGCGTTTTACAATAATTATCAAATGTGAGAAAAAAATAGAGTAATAAATTGGAGTTTTCCATGAACTTGTACAGAACGGTAACACATTTAGTTAATCTCATAAAAGATGTGATTCTAATAAAAAACTAAAAGTCTTTTTAAAGGTGATGACTCCACAAGACGGAACATTAACGTAGCTACTAGCTAACAGTCCGGGGAGTCAAATACAGAGCACAATGACTGCTGGAAAATACCACTTGAAACCTCAGAACCACAAACTTGTTGGTTGTGCGGGAGGCTCCACTTCTGCTTTTCAAAGACCTATGGTTATATAATTGTGTATCTGTAAATAGTAAGTTGGGGAGGTGTGGCCAGCAGCAGCTCATTTGGATTTAAAGTGACAGAAGCTCTAAAACAGCTCATTCTCAAAGAAGCTCAAAAAAGGCAGAACTAAGGAGAATAAAATCTTATTGTAAGAATGATTCTGTACAAACAAGTCAACATGTTTTGTATAGGCCATAGAACTAACCTAACTTGTTCAACAAAGTGTAATAGGTCACCTTAAATATTGAACATTATAGGGAAAATTTGAACTACAAAGAAAAGGTCATGATAAAGGTTTGATGTTTAAAACAATGTGAAATTATCTCAATATAATCACACAGTGAAGCAGCAGCAGCCCTGATTTTGTTCCCATGTCCTTAAAGATCTGTGTCTCCTACTCACAATCTCGTCCTCCAGGTCTCGCCCAACTTGATGGACCTCCTTAGACGCCAGAAGGAGGCGCCGCCTCTCCTTCAACGGCTCGATGAGTCGGGCCATCCTGGTCTCCACGGCGGCCTGCCGCTCCACCACCGTGCCCTGGATCTGCGTCTGCTGCGGGATGGAGGCCGTCTGGACCTGGAGCTGCCCCGCCTCCTTATACCACTCCTCCATCTGGGTCTCCATGGCCTGACAGAGGAGGAAGGGGAGGAAGATGGACCGGTAGGATGATTTTAACAGAAATGTAACATTTTTGTTCCACCTTCCCCTAAAAATGCAAAACAAATGTGACCAAAAATCAGCAAAACGATAAATGGCTGATGGACGGGAGGTGTGATGAAAGTTACTGTACCACTTAGCAGGATGGATTCTGGGTAATGGAGTTAGATTTGGAGTTAAGATGGCGGTGTAAAGCAGTGCAAGTGGCAGGCGTGCCAAAAGAAGCTGTAAGCAGCAGAGTAGGGGACAGCAGGTGAAAAGATAAAGAAAAGAAAGAGGAAGTTCGTTTTAAAAGCCTCCAGATAACCAGTGTGGGAGAAATCTGCACGGACCAACAGAACTTTAAAAATATATCCAGAGTTTAGGAATGACAAGCTACGGTCAGATAAAAAGGGTTTAATGTGCATAGCATGACAAAAACAGATCATTTCACGGTCAGCATTTCATATTATTAGTGTTGGACAAGTTACTTCTAAAAAGTAATTAGATATAGTTACTATAATACTATGTTATAACAGATGTCATTGGCACAAAGTGGTTGAATTTATCAATTTAGCATTAGCTATAGCTAAATACTGTGTTACAGTGGTTTAGCATTAGCTTCCACTAAAAACTGTGTTATTCTGCTTTAGCAATAGCAGAATTAGCGTTTATAATGAGTCCTCTAGGGTTGGTGCAGCTAACTTCTAGCTAGGTCCACATCATGTTGAGAATGTGTTTAATTTCTCAGTTCCCTACATTTAAAAGGAAATTTTCTTTAATTCGTTAGAAAAATATCTGACAAACAAACCCCTTTATCTACTAATGGAAACCAGTTGATTTTTGTTTGAAAGGTCAGCAGAAGCCATGCATTTCCATGTACCTGTAGTTTCTTGAGCTGCTTGTTGACGGTGGTGAGGTCCTGACCCTGGTCCACGTAGACCAGCTGCCCCTCCAGCTGCCCCAGCCGCTGGTCCAGGCTTTCGTAGCTCTGAACCAGCAGGTCCGCCTTGTTGGCCTCAAACAGCTGGCGAGCTTTGGCCTGGGTGGTGCTCTCCAGGTCCAGCCAGCACTCCCGGATCTCCTCCAGCTTCTTCCGGACCACCGGGCTCAGCTCCGGCTTTTCCTTTATCAGCTGCTGCCCTTCCTGGATGGACGAGAGACGAAAAGAGGTGGTACAGAAATAAAGATTGAAAAATTACATTTTTAACTCAATCTGGGGTGGAAGTTAGTTTGGTTTTGAATTTCATCACATCACCAAACATTTCCTTTGTGGCGTTTTATCATAACGATGTGCAGACGACATCGTCACCCCATCAGATTTCTGCTCCTTTTGAGCCTCACCCCCACCGGATGAAACCATCATCCTTTACATTCACCTGCTCCACTTCATTTATTTTTCATTCAACCCCGTCTGCACTAAAATCCGTCTCCTGTTTAATTTAGATCCAGCAAAGCCAATGAGTTTTATATGAGCTTCAGAGGGAAAAAGGCGTAAAAAATAAAGAAAATATCTCCAGTCTCTTACATAATTAATGGTACAGCTAGTATATGTATGTAGAATTATTAAAAAGAAAGTAAAACAAGTAAAATATATCAGACTCATAGGCAAGTGAACATCAATAAGAAGAAAATAGCAAAAAACCTAAATGAAAAAGAATCAAACAGACTGTTTTCTCAGCTCATAGTCTGGTAGACTCGGTTCGATTTGGGACCAAAATTTAAACATTTGTTACATTTTCAGCTGCTGTGGTTCTCTTTCACACTTCACTGAGTCAAATAATCCAAACCCTTCGAGCAACCGGCTCCCTTTTCACTTACAACACATTTTTCAAGTGAAATAATCTAAGAGTGGAACTAATAACTTTTCATCAATATGAAGAAATTATTGACTTAAAACAAGCTCCTATATCTTCCTGAAAAGTTCTTGTAAGTTAGTTTTGTTTTATTTCAAGCATACAAAGATATTTGCACCTGAAACTAGACCAAAAGTACTTTGCTAAGATTTTGTGTTTTTGCAGTGAGGTAAAATGTCTCTCTACACGATACCTGCCCTTAAATCAAGTTAAAATGATTATTTCTGATCGATTCAGTGGCAAAGAGAGAAAGTTTTTAAACATTTGGATCTTAGCGGGGGGTAGATTCAGACCAGCGCAGTGACTCATCATCCACAGCGGACAACACCCTGCCTGAATCACTCACATCCACATGCAGCACTGCTCCAACTGCAGGGAAACAATGTTTTTAGGAGCCAATTCAGCCGTAATATTAGTGCTTAATCTGAGCACATTGACAGAAACATCAGCAGAAAGAGCATCAAAGTTAATGTATTTAACTGTAAACCTGCATTTACACACACTACACCCCTGTGAGTCCCAGTGTGAGTGTCTTACGTCAGCTTTCATTGTGTTGTTGTGCTTTTTGCGGGCCTGCGCTGCAGTGAGTGGGAGCGCAGCGTGGGCTGGAGCAGCTTCACCCACTCGCTCCGAGCTGCTGCAGCAGCTGCTGCTGCCTTGCTCAGGCTGGGAGCCTCTGCTGCACTGATCATCTGCACAGATCCCACTGCCAAGAGGAAAACCCTCCTCCATGGAGACGCAGCTCTGTTTCCCACTGAGCTGGGAAACTGATTTGCAACAACAAAACTATTAAAGAAGCAGTATCATGCACAACCAAGACACTATGGCAACTTCAGTTTAAAAACGCTACATGTTAAATCTGACTTTGTAATTTAATGCCCGGAAACTGGGCCTCTCCCTCTTTAAAGGGGCAGTATTATGTAAAATATATTTATTTTACCTTTAAATCATGTTATAAACTTATTCCCTCGTCAAAAACAAACCTGCAGTGTTGCTTGGATTCCTTCATGCATGTTTGAGGAATCCTTTAATCTCCATGGCAACCAGTCAGCTCTAAAACGTCCGGTTGGATCTAGCCCCACCTTCAAGGCACAGCTCCTCCCCCACTTAGCTCCTTCAGACTAGCCAGCAGCAATTAGCAAACACCTGGTGGAACTGCTGAGCTCATTACAGGAGCTGCTGCTCAGTGAAACGCTGGTAAAAACGTTGTTAAAGGGTTAATAGAGGAGCCATGTTGGGATGATTTTCTATAGGCGGAGATTCAGAGAGAGCAGGAGTTTCTTAAAGAGATAGACGCCCAATTTCAAGGCGTTAAATCAGGAGGTAAAATTTCTTTAAGTCATATTTGATATATGCAGCATTTTTATAACAACTGAATGCAACAGCTACTGGATTATGCTATAAAATGACATTTTGTGCCTAGAAAGATGATAATACTGTCTCTTTAAGAATTCTTTCTGAAACTCCACCTTGAGTAAGTCATCACAAAATGGCTCCTCTATTAAAGGAGCCATGTTTTTATCAGCGTTGCTCTGAGAAGTAGCTCCTATAATGAGCTCAGCAGCTCCACCAGGTCTTTGCTAATTGCTGCTGGCTAGTCTGAAGGAGCTGAGTGGGGGAGCCGCTAAATGCAGTGTTTGTGTAGCTTTAGCATTAGCATCACTAATGTTTGTGATTAATGCTTTAGCGTTAGCTTTTCAGTTAGCGTTACCCACCTCTGTGTATTTGCCCTTTATGTGAGCTAACTACAGTCTGCAGTCTCTGAGTTGGAGCTCTGGAGTTAGTTGCAGTTTTTCCTGAGCATTGAACAGAGCAGAGTTTTCCACATGTACATAAGCAACGGTTTATCCTCTAAGGATTTCTGCTTTGGTGTAACCAACACCTGTGCCCTCCAGAACAAAGAAACCTCAGAAAATGTGGTCACATCGAGGACGACGATCAGTTAATTAAATGCATTTTATCAGCAGTTTTCTCTTAATTCCCACACAGGCAGCGAGGATGTTCTTACCTTCACTAAAAGGTCTGGAGAGGTACGACTGTGTGCTTCCCCTCCAGACAAACAAATACAACAGAAAGTGAATAAAAATGTCAGAAAGTGAAATGAAGTAAGAAGCAGCTGATCTTGTCCTTTAAGTTAATGAGGTCAGCTAATTATCAAGCAGAGCGAGAATCAAAATCCCAAAGGGTTTAGGCTTAAAAGTGCACAGAGAACAGCAAACTCACTTTTCATCACTCTCCCCTGCAGCAACGCAAGATTTAAACTTTACATTTTCAGACAAAACAAATCAACTCCCTTTATAAACCAAATACAATCCTAGTGCAGTGAGAGAAACACTTTTGTAATTTCTATCTTAGCCAAAACATAAACTTAATCATTTTTTATTTTACAACTACAAAACTTTTTGTTATAGGTTTTGTTGGCTCCAGTGGCCCCCACCTGAAAGTAGCCTGACAGGAAAGAGGGCCATGAGAGAGCAGGAAGACATGCAGCAACGTCACCAGGCCAGGAATCGAACCTGCGGCCACCAGCATGAGGACCAAGACCTCAACACATGGGCTGTGCCCCTGCACCACCACAGCACCTCCATAAAGTTAACTTTTGTCTTAAGTTGTTATTTCACATTAATATTGTTTCTCAAAAATGTTGGGATCTGAATGCTGCCCATCCAGACTGGCGTCTTGTTGAGGAAGTCCAGTCACTCTGCAGCAACAGAACATCATTTATTGATCAAACACAGCATTAAGCATTCAGAACAATGCAAAGTCAGCTTATAGATCCAGATCTCTGTAGTACAGGAACACCTACTACTGTAGGCGCTTTGCTTCTTTTACTTCCTCTTCACCGTCTCTTGTTCTCTTATTCAGATTTCTCTCAAAGAAACACTGGATTTATGTCACATGAAAGCAACTAATAAATAAAACAACATCTTTGCTCAACAGCAACGTTTATTCTAACAATTAATCGATGATACTAATGATTAATCAACTAATCTGAAACAACTTGGCACATATTGCAGATTTTTTATTTAAGCCTCTTCATGTAATATTAAAAGTCACTAAAAGATGCAAGTAAACAAATAATCTAATTGCTTTTTTAAAATGAGAACATAAACATTTGTAGCTGAGGGAGCGTCTGCAGCTAAATAAATACTTATACATGTAAAAAGCTTTCTGCTGGACTTAACATAAATATACTGTGTTTCAGCAATCAACCTTTTTTCAGTCTCTGTTCTCCAGATTACTTGATTATTTCAATAATTATGCAAAAACATGTATGTAACAGTCTGAGGATTGTCTGGCATAAGGACATTGGCTGCACTTTCAGTGATGACGAATTGTTTAGAATAACGTCAAATAATGTGGAATATATTAAAGGATCTAGAGCAAAACGTATGCACTATAAAATGGTACATAGATGTTATTTCACCCCATCCAGGCTCGTAGAATAGGTCTACTCAACAATAACCTATACTGGAAATGCAAAACAGAGGCAGGAACCTTTAGACATGCGATCTGGGAATGTAAATGCATTTCCCCATTCTGGAAAACAGCATTACAACACATTGGAGAGAGGATATGTGTGGGGATAACCATGTTACCAACACTGTGGTTATTGTGTGGTTACACTGTGGATGCCTAATATGTGGAAACACCAAAGCACCGTGGTGCAGGCGGGGACGGTGCCAGAATAATCTACAACTGTATGAATGTTAAAAGGTGGTTTCACATGAACAAATGCTAAATAATGACAGAAAACGTCAAGAAATCCTGGAACTGTTTCCTCTCCTGCAATACTGGGACAAGAAAACTCCTCTCATGAACTGCTGTTTTGGAAAATACTGACGAGTGACGACTTCTGTTTCCTGTGGTTGTTTCTGCTACCGTCCAGGATTATTTACGAAATCTGTGAAACTTTGGATTGGTTTTATTTTGGTTTGGTTTGGTTTGAGAGGGTGAGAGGAGGGTTGGAAGGGTTAATTTACATGTGTGTTCTGAAACAACAAAAAAAACTTTAACAAAAAAAATAACTGATTAATCGTTTCAGCTCTACTTTTAAGCAATGAAAAACAGTGAAAGATGTGGCTTTTCAAGTCCAAATTTGCACACCACTCTACACTAACATGAACAAACAATGATTGTTAGGCTTCTGAAGTGAAAAATATATAAAAATGAGCCAAAAAATCCCACAATTAAAAAATTTCCCGCACCTCCAGTCCAGCTGACGGATTCTTCCAGATTTTTAAGTTTTACATCCAGAACTGCAGTTTCTGGCTGCCGCTTGGCTGTGCACAGAGCTGCTTTAATCTCACACATCTATCGATATAATTCAGAGATAAATGTAACATTAATGGCTGTTACTGCCCAATAAAGGGATTTCTCAAAGGGTGTTTTTTGTTTTTCGACTGAAGGCCTACCCAGAGTAAATCCAAGTAGCTGGAAAACCTTTGACAAAAGCAGATCTTAATTAGATTCTGGTTCAGTCAGGATCGGAAACTGAATGGAAACCACTGAGGATGAGTGAAAGAGTCGGAGGGAACAGGAAGCGGGAACATGACGGGATGGAGGAATGACCTTCATGCATGGCAGAAAGGGGGACAGGAAGGAGGCGAGAGATCTGATTGGCCAGCTGCTGCCTGGCAACCGTCAAAAGCACATAAAACAGGAGACATGTTGCCCCATACACTGAAGCCGACACGTCAAGGAAAGGTGAATGATGAGCATCGAATCACGTTTCCTCTGCTCACTGATCCAGAACAACCATCAGTCCTGGTGTCATTTGGTACTAAATGCTTTAACTTCCTGAATGAAAATCAACTGATAGTCCAGTAGAATCGGTTCGATTTGGGACCAAAGTTTCAACATCAGCTCCATCTCCTGCTGCTGTGGTTCTTTCTCTCTGCTCTGAATCAAACCAACCAAACCCTTTGAGCTACCTGTTCCCCTCCTGGCCTGTGGAGGCGCTGCACCAAGAACCACTGAAGGAAACAACACTAAAACCTCTGAAGACACTGAGAGCAACTTCCTTCTTCAACAGATGGAAACAAAATGGAGAAGCATCAGATTTTAGTGGTTGCAGGATTTCTCTTCAGTCTTTGGCTAAAGATCAAAAGCCATTTCACCCGCTAACGCTAGGTTAGCGTGTTTGTTTTGGTTGTAGTGGATTACTACTGCGAAGTAGTCCACTTCCTGTGAAAATACCAACTGAAGCTGGTAAGAAAAGTAAACAAGTTGGACCCAAAATAAAAACATACTGGAATAGGAAGAATAAACATTTATACTACAAAATATTCAGCATACAAAGCAATTCACATCAAAAAACAATAAGGCCAGAAATGTTAGAAAATATAATGAGAAATTATCATTTCTCAATATATATTTTGAGAATACATATCTGGAATTTCTCTATTCTGGAGCTAACAAAGGTGCTAACAGATAATTTAGTTTCCAAGATATCTAAAAAAAAAAGAAACAATTTGATCAAATTAGTTAAAACCCCTGAGATTTTATCTCTACATTTAAATTTTGGCAGAGTCAGTCTTCCATAGAATTTTTTGGCAGAGTCAGTCTTCCATAGAATAATGGATTTCGAATCAGTGAGGTTAAAAAAAGATTTTCAGCATGAACTTTGTGTCTGTCTGCATACTGATGGGATCTTTATTCTGCTCCAGTCTGAATCAGACGCGGATGTAATCGGGTCAGTTGAAGCAAAGACTTCGTAACGTCGTGTTCACACCTCTGATTCGCTGCTGTGACATCGATCCAGACGTGTAAAATCATTACCCCTCAGTGCAGCTGGAGATTTGTGCCACATTTCTTTGATTCCTAGACTTTTAAACGTTGTGTGTGTGTGTGTGTGTGTGTGTGTGTGTGTGTGGGGGGGTGTGTGTGTGTGTGTGTGTGTGTGTGTGTGTGTGTGTGAGCTCCACGCCAAGGTGACATTTGCTTGCAGAACTGCTCCTTTTTCATGCCATCCATGCTATCCATTCCCCAGATTAATTACCTCCCATCAAACTCCCAGGAGGTTTTTTTTTTTTTTTTATGTTGTGTCCCAGAAAAATAATCACAGGGTCAGAGGAAGCAGAGTGCGCTCCAGCACCCCCTGGTGGTTGTGAGAGGAAACGCATGTTCCATTTGTATCATCAAATACTGGATAGTTAAAATATAGATTTTGAGAGTGTTTGTTTGAACTAAACTTATAAACATTACTGAACATTATAGACAGTCTTTCTCTGTTTAAATATTTTCTGATTATTTTTTTAAACTTTTGACTCAGCTTTAACGTTTTTATTGTTGTTTTGTTTTTATGTCTGATTTATTTGTAGACCAACTGTGTTGTTCAGGCCTCTTGCAATAAATCAATTAATCGCATGATAAATTAAAACAAGCTCAATAATTTCCATTTGCATCATTTATCATTTCTCTCTTTCTACCAAAAACTGGATGCTAAAAGTCTTCAGTCTGGTGTTTTTGTCTCAACTAGATTCTCTTTTGAAGTATAATTTTGTTTACAGAGACTTCATAATAAATATTATTTGTTGTTTTGTTTATTTATTCCAGGTCCAGTGTTAAATGTTGATTAGAATTTAAAGTTTATTGATCTTTGGGAATGTCTTATTTCACACTTATTATGCTATTACCAATATATTACTGGAAAATTGTCTCAAATAAACAATACTGTCATTCATTTCAATAACTTCTGGGACAATTTATCGTCCAGCAAAATTTGTTTCTGTGACAGGCCTAGTTAATATTACCACAATTCATGGCAATGTAAATATGCAGGAATTAACGTAATAGGTAAATTTCATCCTTTGTCCTGAGATAAATACCTCACTATGCAATTTACAAGATTTTTCTTCCATTAAAAGAAGTAAAAAAAATATCAACCAAAGAAAACATTTATACAAGAAACAGGCAGAGTCAGAATAAAAACAGCATACGTTAGAGAGATCTTATGAAGCTCTGTGGCATCAAGAATCAGAAGAAACTCTGAAAACGGCTCCGGCCTCCTTTAGCTGAGCAGAGGGAGAATGCACTCAGCAGCGGAGTGACCCAAAAACCGTTCGCTCCAGGCAGGAAACCTGCATTATCTGACGGCGGCACGCACCTTTTCGATTTTATCCAGCCATTCCTTGTTCTGGGCCAGCTCGGCCATGAAAGCCTGGTGCTTCTGCCACTTCTTGTGCAGCTTCTGGGTCTCGTCTCGGCTGCTGTCCCTCGCCATCAGCATCTTTTCGTACACCCAGTCCCCCAGCTGCAGAGAAAAGACGACGGAGGGGGAGGGGAGGAACCAAAAGTCATTTCTATTGCAAACATGCGCAAAACTTTCTCCATATTCTGCTAATGTCAAAAAAACAAACAAAAAAAAACAACTTTGCAGTTGCGTTGTTTCCACTAAATAAGAAACGCAATTAAAATCACACCAGAATATGTTTGTTTATGCGGTAAGTCATTATAAAACTTTCAGCGCCTCCAACTACTTCTGGTTGTCTTCACCTGTTTGCCCCAGTGGCAACGACCGGCTGTAGATCATATGACTATTTTATTGTTATTATTAATATTAACATATAAAACCAACATCCTGCGATGGACTGGCGAACTGCCCAGGGTGGCTCCGCCTGTCGCCCAAAATGTCTCGCTGAATTACAAGGTCACTGTTAATGAAGCTACAAGGCTAATGCTAGCATGATGAGCGACGAGCATGTTGACCAGTAGGATGTGTGTTATCACCAGCATGCTGAGTAACATTGACATTTAGCATGTAAGCTCAGTTTATATATAAATCTTAGCTAACTGCTAATGTTAGCAACTATCTAACATTAGCAGCTACCACAGATTAAATGTCGCTGCTAATGCTACCTTTAGTACTAGCAGCTACAGGTAGTACTAAAAAAATTAAATAAGAATTTTTCATTTAATTTCTTTTTCACATCAATGAAGTATTTTTGAAATGAATTGCATTTGTACTACTAAAGCTACAAAAGATAATGCGATCACTGCTTGATGACACAGAGACTAATGCCTGCAGAGAGCAGGGAAGCATGGACACTGCGAGGCTAAGGACACCAAAAAGAGGACTAGTAGCATTAAGGTAACCTTTTGCTATAAAATGTAACTAGTGCTACCTTTTGTAGCATTAGCTGCTAATGCTACCTTTAGTGTATGGGTTGTCATTTTAATGATCACCTACTAACATGTTGATGTTATTAGAATGTGTGTTATCACGTGATTAAAATGACTTCAATACAAAAATGCTGTCAATAAAAACACTAAATAAAAAGTAAAACAATTATTATAATTATATGGTCAATGTAAACGCAGCTATTGACGCTCTGATAAGATTTCTGAAATATCAAAACACCCTTATCAAAAGATGCAGAGCAGAATTATTGATTATTAAACATATTTAGTGCAGAAGAGATTCATGTTGGCATAAATAAAACGCTTTTTTGCATTTTTTCCTCATATTTTTACGGCGTTTCTAGTTGAAATACAAGGTCACGGTTAATGACGCACGGCGCATGTAGCCTGACACACGTGTAACAACAAACATGGCTGCAGGAATTCACATGTGCAGCATAACAGCTTACAGTATCTCCCCCCACCCACCATCACCTACGCAGACTCAAACACCGAGCAGACCCCCGCTCTCACTCAGGCTGCGATATGCACATTTAATTCAAAAATCCATCGGAATACACTCCATGTTCTGCTCTCACTCAGCTGGGAGGAAGAAATCTGGTTTACCAGCGGCGGTTAGCGGCAGCAGCCCGCTGGGTAGTGGCAGCTGCAGGCTGCAGCCTCCGATGTCCGCATCCTCGCTCCTCCGCCGACATGCAAAGATGCTCCTCTATGCAGAAAACACGGGAGCGGAGATGAGGAAAAAAAGCTGGGAGGAAAATGAAACCAGCAGTAAAGAGACTTCCTCCCTCCTTCCTCTAGTGCCAAAGACTCGCTCAGAAAGGAGAGGATGCGGAAATGGGGGTGGATCAGTGACGGAGGAGTGAGAGGAGAGAGACACCCTCCTCCCAAAAAAGAAAAAACAACAATAAAATGGCACAGAGCCGAGCCCCTCCCCTGCATCGCTCCGTCTGTGACTGAGCCGGATGCTCGGAGGGATGGAGGCGGGGAGGACCGAACAGTCCGGGACGGCAGGTACCGAGCATCCGGCTTTTACAGGTTTGTTCAAACCGTCACCATGTCGTGACAGTAGCTGCGTTTCTATTAACCACGTATTTTTTTTAAGTCACGTGTTTCGATATACACATTTAAAAAGTTTCCCGTTAGGATGAGGTGGTTTTTCAGCCACTTCAAAACACTTTTACCGCCTCACAAAAGTCACGTGATTCACAGCCGGATGTTACTACGGGCGAAAACCACGAAGAAGACAACAGGAAGTGGTAATAAGATTATTTGTTTTTGCTTTTTTTTTTTTTTTTTTGCTCCACTAGAGTTCTCACAACATCAAGGTTCATAAAAAGTTGTCACATTCCAATGTGTTGAATCCATTGCTCTTTTCCAAAATGGCAGACTACAATTTCTCCAAAAATCGAGTGATTAGCATGTAGCTGCTCCCAAGTAGGCGGGGCTTGTCACTCCAAGCCATTGAAGGTGAGCGCTGAATTATGGACATAGCTGATGTTTGATGTTTGACAGTGATTAGCCTTTAAAAAAGGCTAATCACTGTCATTATTTTTAATGACTTATTGTGTGAACAAGCTTAATCACTTATGATTTTTTTTATTAAATATCTTATTTAATGGAAATACCACAATTCTGAAATTGTAATTTTTGGACATTAGCAGAAAATAGACAAAAATTTGAGAAGATTTGTAATTGTAATTCCTTAAACAGGTTAGGATAGGCCCCTCAAATCAGTTTACAATCTATACTCATGAAAATGGTTGAAAACAGATACACAATTATACACACGTGTATTTCTGAAAAGCAGAAGCGGAGCCTCCTTTACCACCATGGTAAGCCAAGAACAGAACACTTGTCTTTTCCAGCAGCCATTGTACAGCACATACAGCAGTATAAGCAGCTGAGCAAACGTGTTGGAGCTCAGTTTGGTTTTTGAAATGGCTCATTTTCCAGACACCAAGCAACGGCTGGGTGGCTTTTTTAAACACTTGGACTGTTTTTAGAAGCCGTTGAGACGCAAATGGAAGCAGAAAAACGTGGCAAAAGTATTTTGCATCATAGATCCCCTTAAAAATAAATACACCTTGATTTATAAATATGTTTTACCAAAACTCTTCAAAATGCATAGTTTTGGCTTCACTCTGTGCAAATTCACTAAAGGAATGCTACATTATTGCAACTTAGGTAACAAAATGTGCATATTCTTATTTATAAAAGGAATTTAATTTGTTTGTCTAATACTGCACTTTAAAAAAGGCTAAAGAGGTGCCAATTTTTTTATCCAATTAATCGTCAGAATAATCGTTAGCAGCAGCTCTGCTTTTGTTTGATCTTCCCCTCCGTCTCTGCAGCTGTACTCTCAGTTTCCAGCTTGATGCTGCTGCAGTGGTGAAGCAACAAGAACCGAAAGCAGAGAGAGAAGGAGAGGAAGGCAGGACGGATTAGCAGATTGGCTGTTTTTATGAATCGGGGCTGGTTTTCACACGTCGTCGCCTCTTCTTGGAGTTATCACACTCTGTGTTGGTGCCGCGCAGACGTGTCGGGGAACAGGCAGCTGTAAACACGACGCGGCTCACACCTCCAGAGGCCGACAGCAGGAGCACGCGCACGGAGGAATTTAAAAGTTGCATAAGTGATGTGACTGCAGGGGTCATGGAGGATCGGAGGGCGGCGCAGATTTTATCCTGCTGTCTGTTTCCAAGGTTCAACTCTAATGATAAACACATAGCAATCCCAATTTTTATTAAATTTACAACCCAACTTTTTAAAATGCTTAAAATCATGAAACCAATTTTAATAGACAAAGATAACAAAATGAAATGCAGAAAGCAGTTTTCAAATGATGATTTTAATTTAAAATGCGTTTTAAATGAACTGGACACTATGAAAAGTTAAAATCAGAAAAAAGATTTGGCTAATAAGCTAAATATTTAGTTCCAAATGTAATATTTAGCTTGCTAAATAAATATTAAATTTGGGGCTAAATTTTTGGCTCCAAATTAACTATTCAGTTGTCAAGCTAAATATTATTTTACAAGCTAAATATTTACCTAAACATTTATCTACTTAGCTAAATATTATGCTCAAATATTTTTGTCAAATATTTAGCTTGCTAGCTAAATATTTAGTGAACAAGATAAATATTTAGTCATATTGTTAAATATTTAGCTTCTTACCTAACATTTATAGTTTACAAGCTAAATGTTTAGCTCCAAACATAATATTTAGCTTGCTAAATAAAAAATAATATTTACACATATTTATTTACCAATGTTAATATTTTTAATCTTTATCTAATGTTTTCGGTAGTTTAAATTATGTAAATTCCCCCAACAACATTACACTAACGTGATGGTTGAATATGTAAATATCTTTGAACGTCAACAAACTACACAATCTGCAGGTAGTCAAATAATTCAAGGGAACATTTGTAGATCCTGAATGGTTCTTCCCCGTTTTTCAGAACCGTCTCAGTGGTGGAACAAGCGGGTCGAGCCATGGAATCAGTTTGATTGGCAGCAAACCACATTCACTGATCGACCAGTGAATTTATGTCACCGGATGACCAAAGGTGATATGTGCAGACAAACGGCGTCAAGTGGAAGAGCAACGTACAAACATACCGAGAGATTTCAGAGAAGCTGGCCAACCACGGACAGGCGCTTCAAAATGACATCATCAGAGCGTCGACCGCAGCTCAGAGGAACATCGGGTCAATGGAGACACAACCAACTGGGCTACAACCCAACCGGGCTGGAACCAAACCGGGCTAGGACCCAACCGGGCTATGACCCAACCGGGCTACGACCCAACCGGGCTGGAACCCAACCGGGCTACAACCCACCCGGGCTGGAACCCAACTGGGCTACGACCCAACTGGGCTACAACCCAACCGGGCTAGGACCCAACCGGGCTAGGACCCAACCGGGCTGGAACCCAACCGGGCTAGAACCGAACCAGGCTGGAACCCAACCGAGCTACGACCCAACTGGGCTGGATCCCAACTGGGCTGGAACCCAACCGGGCTACGACCCAACTGGGCTACGACCCAACTGGGCTACGACCCAGCTGGGCTAGAACCCAACCAGGCTGGAACCCAACCGGGCTACGACCCAACTGGGCTGGAACCCAACCGGGCTGGAACCTAACCGGGCTGGAACTCAACCGGACATTAAAGCTGCAGTACGGCACTTTCATTGTATTTGTTGAAATT